CCCCTTTCAAACCCTCTGGATACTGAATCCGCTGCTGGCAACACCATTCTATTCTCATGTGCTTCTGTTCTTTTTTTCCCAAGACTAAAGCAAATTTTAGTACTTGCCAAAATGTCAGCTTGACATTGCTACCTTGGCCAGGCTTAGTGCTGTCAGCGGCTCGCTGAGGTTCTCCCGCAATGCTCTGCTACTGCTCTTCCATCCTGCCCCACACCCAGCGCTACTCCAGCCTGCCCCCTCCTGCTCTGCCCCTGTTCCTCAGTCTGGGTTGAGTGATGGAATTCCATGCTGCAGCCAGGCCCTAGAGAAGGAAAGATGGGGGAACGCCTCAGAGCTCAAGTTTTTCGTAGGCTACATAGGTTTTCCCTAGGGATTGTTCCTTGCACCATCCCCTGAGAAAGCTCAAAGACCTGAGCAGCTGTCATTTTTCATGGAGCCCAGACGTGAAGTTTGCCCTGCTCTGTCCTCCCCTCCCTGAGTGCCAGTTCCCAGGCTCAGTCACTGAAAATGGCACCATAACGGCATCCCCTGGGAAACTATATTCTGTCTGGCACAGCTGCTACTTCCTGCTGCCTCCCCGGGCTGCTGGCTAACGTGGGCATTCAGAAGCCATGTGTAGCCCAGTGCTTGTCCGATTTTGGCCTCAGTTCTGCTGATCCCCTTAGCCTATTGCATCCTCCAGAGCAAGAGACCCCATGGCTCCTGTGTGGACACAAGGTGTCGCCCTTATTCCACGTTTTGGGCTCCTGGGCAGGGGCATAGATCTGCCTACAGCACATGGCTCTGGGCAGGGCTCAGTGCTCCTAACTCTGCTGGGAGGAAGGAAAGAGAATAGCTTCCCCACGCCTTTTGCATGCCTGAGTGATGGGCACCTGATCATCCACCTGCCCTCACTTGTTGGGATGTTCTCCTCAAATCCTAACTGTAGGCAGGTTTCCAAGCCCCCTGAACTCATTCCGAGACTGGGGCCAGGGGTCTGTCCCCCAAGTCAGCTGGTGAGTCAAGGGGTTCTCAGTCAGGTGGGGCAAGAGCTGGTTTCCATTGCAGTTCTCCTCACGCCCCCTTGGTGCTCTGCTCTTTAGGCCTGTGCCCTGTGACACGTCAGGCAATAGGGTACCTGCTCTCTCAGAATGGCAGTGGCAACGCTGTGGCCGTCGTGATTGGAGGTGCAGCCGAGTCACTGTCTTGCCAGCCAGGAATCACAACATTAATCCTCAAAAACCGCAAAGGCTTTGTTCGGATGGCGCTGCAGCATGGGTGAGTATTGTCAACCAGACGCTGTCTGGAGAGACCTCCAGCTCCTCTGGTAGCACCTCCAGGAAACTGGCCTGGGGCCAGCCACCCCCCAGGACCTGCCAAGCCAGCCACATGACCGGGAAACAGGGCCTGGCACCTCTTCCCTGCTTGGGATTGCCCCAGGCAACCCATCCCTGGCCTACCTTTCAGTAGGACCCAGGAGATAGGATAGTGAGTGGGTCTCAGCTGCTACTTACTGTGGCTCCCAAGGGAGGCTGGTTCTATATGAGCAAGTTTGTAGCCGGGCCCCATGGTGCTGAAGTGCAGTAGCGAGCATAGATGCTGGAACTAGTGGTCCTGGGGTCGCGGCCACACCCCCTGGGTTGAAGTGGGTTCCATTATATTCAGGGTTTACAATTTGGTTCAGTGGCGCTCAGCACCCCCACTAGACAAATTGTTCTTCACCCCTGGTAGTGAGTGCTACCCTGGGTGGGGGGGTGCTGGCTGCAAGGGCACTCATGTTACAATGCTTTCTCCCCCAGGGCACACCTGGTTCCTGCCTTCTCCTTTGGTGAGAATGACCTCTTCCGGCAGGTGGTTTTTGAAGAGGGCAGCTGGATGAGGGGCATTCAGAAGAGGTTCCAGAAGCTGGTGGGCTTTGCTCCCTGTGTCTTCTACGGACGGGGTTTAACCTCTATCCATTCCCGAGGCTTCCTGCCCTACCCGAAGCCTATCACCACTGTCAGTAAGTATCCCCTTACTCTTCTCCTGTGGCTTTAGCTGCCCAAAAGCCCTGTCACTGGGGGTTGAGTCCTGGTTGTCTCAGCCAGCATTTCTCAAATGCGGCCACCAGCGGCTTTTCTAGTGGTCACAGCCTCCTGGACTGTGATTTGGGGGAGAGAGGGCAGCAGTGGCCCCTCCCCCTCCCTGTTGCTCCTGGATGCACCACCTTGGTGTTGACTGGAAGCAGAGGTCGAGCCCTGCCTCCTCTGGAGACAGCTGGGACACAGCGCAGGAGGAGGAGGCAGCTGGTGAGTTCCCCACCTTTCCAGGGGTAGTGAGGCTCAGGCTTTGGGCTTCACCCCTAGGGTGGTGGGGCGGCAGGCTCTGGCCATTGGTCTTTGGCCGCACAGCGGGAGCCCAGGGCTGGAGCCCGAAGACCTCAGGCTCTGGGCATGGCGCTTTGGCTCTGGCTACGAGGCATCGGGTTCTGTCTCCCCTGGCATCCCCACCCCAATCACCCCTGGCTCCTGCTGGCTCCCCCAACTTACTTACTCAGCCCCGGCTTAATTTGTCCCCAGGTTTGTCGGGGCTGAGTAAGTATGCTGTGAAAAGTGATATTTATATGTTTTTTAATATCACTTTTAACAACAGACTTATTAGCTAGCAATAAATAAATTACAATGATTTGAACTTGTATATTTCCATATTTATTTGTTTTTCCTAAAGCTAATTAAGTATTTTAGGAAAAAATTTGAGAGCCACCACGAGCAAGATTTGGTGGCCACACTCTGAAACCACCAAAAATTTATCCTGAGAACCCTTAGTCTAAGCTGACAAAGAGGGTTCCACTTGCCATTGAGTTTGTGGCAGGTGTGGAAGCCAAAAACTCATCATGATGTGAGGGGTGAAATCCAGCAATGGGAAGAGTGGGCCCAGGGGCTTGTGAACCTGCAGTGGGAGGGTGCTGTCCCAGGGCACAGTGTGTTCTCTTCCCTCCCTCTTTGCCTGTGGCCAGGCACTCTTGGTGTCTCTGTGGTACTACTGCCCATATGTAACAGTTCACTAGGAAGAAAGTTTGGCATTAGCATTCCAAGGCCCAGCTCATTACGAGGGGCAGGGAGTCCTCCCAGCTGCACCAGCTGGTTTATTCCAGGTGCTTAGGATTCACTCTCCCACCCCCTTTCTGGCTCTGGCAGTAGGAGAACCTGTGACGGTGCCCAGGATCAAGGAGCCGAGTCACGAGACGGTGGATCTGTACCATGCTATGTACATCCGCTCCCTGCTCAAACTCTTCAATGACCACAAAGCCAAGTATGGCCTGTCGGAGGCAGACGAGCTGAGGATCCTGTGAATGAGGCCAGAGAGAAGCCCCGGGACTTTGGGCAGCCAAGCCCTAACTCTCAAGGGCTGCCTGCTCTTGGAGGTGGGAACGGCAGCTTACCTGGCAGGATGGGGACTCTCAGGGACATACTGTTCCACTGCACCCCAACTACTGCTTGCCCTCTACCCCGGTGCCTTACTCACTTGTCCCCTTGCTGCTGCCCCAGCCTCTGCTTCTGTTCCCTCCAGAAGATGAATGAAGGAAGGAAGGAGCTCCCTGCTTGTTGTATCCCAGCGTTTCCTGTGTGCTTTCTGCTCACTCCCATGGGCAATGCAGTGAGTTGGCTTCCTCAGCTCCCAAAGCCCCCTCAGGGAAGGGGAAGGGAGGAGCACAGGAAGGACAGGTGCTGGGGCTTGGAGGGGATGGGGAATGTGCACATGAGCAGAGAGACATGGGGGAATGTGTGTGGGGAAATTTCTCCTCTGCCCAGACCCCGCTCTCCTGGATGGAGATGAATAGTAGCTTTGTGCTGCTGCTAATGGAACAGAGGAATGCAACCCTGCAGGCTAAACTCTGCCTAGGGCTCCAGCTCCGACTAAGGAGGAGGGAGGGTGAGATGGATAGAATGGGGGAAAAGAGGAGAGGGGGAGAAAAATGGAGGGAAAGCCCTTGTTTGAAACGAATGTGAAAAACAGGGTTACCAGGGGGGCCTGCAGTGCCATGTAGGGTGTGTTGTAAGGGGCAGGGCCCTGAGACTGAGGGTCTCTGAGGAGCTGGCTGCTGACTCAATTCCTTGCCTAAGGAAAGCTAGCCAGCTATAACTCCTTGTGGCCTTGTGTCTGTCCCTAGTGCCCATGTAGAATGGAGCCTCCTGGGAGGGTTTGTCCTTCCACCTCCATTTTGCTGGCTAAGCATGTAGCTTGAAAGCAGGCATGTCAGGCTGTTTATCCCAAGGGGACATGTCATCCCTGCACCAGGCTGGAGAGTTCTCCCTGTGGTGGTTAACATGGGCAGCTTTGCCTCAGCCTTAGAATCAGGGCAGGGACCGGGCTACCCTTCCCACAGTGAGGAGGGATGGACAGTCAGGGGGTTCATGGGAAGCTTGGTGAAACTCTGGCCAGGACGTAGCCAGCATGCGCAAGATTTTCCCTTTGAATCTCCCCTTCCCAACACATCTTGTTCCCTGCCTTAGCTGTGGCCATCCCTTTGCTTTCCCCATGGCCCCTGTATGTGCCACCCACCACTTTCTTAGATCGTGGGTCCTAGCCCCACAATTCCTTGTCCCTGTCTGTGTGAGTTGGCAACCAGAAAGGCCAGTGCACCTGGAGCTCTATGTGGAGAGACACCAGGTCCCAGAAGAGCAATAGCAGAGTCCCTGGGGGCACTACACCTGGGAGATTGCAGTGATTTTTGGGCACTGTGTGACCAGAAAGAGATTGATCCTAGGAAGGGGATCAGAATGGAGCAAGAAAAACTATCAGGAGCTGGAGGGAAAGCCTAGAGTGACAAAGCAGGGTGGGCCAAGTCTGCAAACCTCTGACAAGTGTGTCCCCCTAGGGAGGGCAAGAGGTTAGTTATGAGTAAAGGCAGGTGTAACTAGGAGGTTTGGAGGCAATTGATGATGAGAAAATGCAGACTGTCTCTCAGGGATAACTTCCTGTCACTGAAATGTACTGAGCTTGAGTGTTGTCTCCTAAGGGAAGGGGTGGGTGCCCCAGGACATGGGGCATTTCAGGCTGGGTCTGACAAAACAGTAGGTCTGGACTGTGCTGTAGAGGCCAATCCTGCTTTGGCTCCAGGGCTGGATGGGGCAATCTAATGGGGCTTGTCCATCGCTCACCTCGATGATTCTGTGTTGAATACATTTGTATAAATATCATACTGACATGGACCACGTTGTGTGAGAAGGAGGCAATTCTGCAGGTGGGGAAGTGCCATGCGGTAGTCCATACACATACATACATACATGCCAAGAACATAACCATGCATGTGCCTGGACATCCCCCTCCATGCCCAGACATGCGCACAAACACACACTGCTCCTTACACATGTGAAGGTATATGTACACAGATACATATACCCCTCCATGCACAAGCGTAGAGCACACACTCCTAAGGGCTTTCAAACACGCCTCATTGTTCTTTGGAGAAGGGAGGCCTCTACATGTTGTTCCAAGGATTCAATAGGACATCCCAAAGGACTGCACTAGCCATTCACTGCTGAAGACCATGCTCTTGAGCAGTGAACGTGGCTCCCCCTGCAGGCCCTTCCTGTGCTGGTTGAGGGGGCTGCTAGCCTGCTGCTCCCACTGTACAAATGACAAAGGGTCTGTCACAAGCCCCTGTGCATGGAGTAGCTTAAGGGGAAAAAGGAGGAGGAAGTCCTTAGCCCTTGTCAAGCCCATGGGATGGCAGGGTTGCTCCTGTGGTCACAGCTTCTATTGTTGGGCTCCTTTTCAATTGCCTGGGACCCTGTAATTCTGCTCTGAGCTACCTCAGTGGCTCTCAGCTGTGCTCTGCTGCCATGCCTGGAGGCCCAGAATGGGGGGGCTGTGACACCTTATGGGAGCACTGAGTGGAGGGTCCTGGCCTAGCTCTAGGCTCTTTGTGGTGAGAAGATTCTAAGGATGCCAGGGGAATGTAACTGGGTAGCTCCCCATAGCTGTGTGTAACTGGGTAGCTTCTGCACCCAGCCCCTGGCGCTTAGCTCAGGTCCCAGGGCTTACTGTGTTTTTTTTCCAAGCCCAGTGAGTAATGTCAGGCAGCTGGTACCAGTGTGGAGAAAGCCCAGCATTAAGGCTGGGATTAACCTCCCTGAGGAGCTCAACTCCATGGAACAAAAGCTGCTCGACTACTGCCATCACTTGTGAGCAAAGCCTCAGCCTGATGCCTGCTGGAGCAGCTGCTGAGGGCCCCCGAATGGGGAATGTCTGAGGCCACCCGCACTGCAGTATCAGAGGCAAAGTAGTGCATGGATTAGCCCCGCTCGTGGGACATGCTGGTACTAAACCTGGAGGATGCAGATCAGGGGCACCGCACAGGCAGGTACTGCTTTCCATGGAGTCTGTGAAGAAACAGGGCTGAAACCATGGTAATAATTTCCTCCATTTCCAAAGCTCCCAAAGCAATTTGCATGCCCACAGCCCCACTGAAATGCAGCCGCCTCTGAGGTGGAGACGACAGCACCTGGTGCAGAGCACCCTGCTAGGAAATTTGTTTCTGGCCTCAGAGTGTATTCAGGGGTAGAGGGCAGCTTCTGCACCTGACCCTCCAGCCTCTGCAAGCAGAGAAGGTAATGGCACAAGACCCTCTGTTAGCTTAAAGCTTTCGCTTCGCTGTAGGAAAAGCTGGTGATGGGGTAGTGCCTAGTGCTGGGCCCAGGCCAGGGCACCCTGGTGAGCTGTTTCCTGGGTGTAGATGACAGCAGCATTGAAAGCAAAGATCACCCATGAGGCCAGGCTGAGTCATGTGAACACAATCCTGTGGGGAGGACAAACAGGTTGCTTTGCAGCTCCCCCCTCAGATTTCCATAGGCAGAGATGGTCCTCCCCCTGTGCATGTCTCCCTTCCTGCCCCAGCTCTGCTCCCCACAGAAGGCAGGCTGGGCTCATGAATTCTAGAATGTGGAATACCTAATTCATTACACCCTAATATGTTAGTATCCTCCAGCATCACACTTCACACACTCACCTGTATGCTGCCTTGCAGATACTACCCGTATGCCCACACAATTAAACAACAGAGCTGTGCAAACGTTTCAAAAGCAAACACCACGAAAGGAAACATTCTGAAGAGCTTGTTTACTTAGAGGCACTATAACAGAAAGTTCTTTACACTCCCAATTTCCTGGCTTCCCTGCAGAAATGCTAATATGAAAAGCAAACCCACATGCCCTAGTCAGCAGAGGTGCCAGGTCAGGTCATACTAGGGACTTATTGGGTTGGGGGGGAAGCTTTTCACTGGCTTTAGAAATGTTTGTTGGAGTTTAACTAATATCTGGCAGAGAAAAATGGAACATAAAGTGGTGACTCTTTCCTGCCCCTTGATTCTCATCATGAAGTAGGGGAGAAACCAGAATCTAAGGGGCACCTTTCAGAGGCTGAAATGCCGGAACCTGTGTAAACAAGCCCATTCTCATTTGTGGGAGAGGCACTGAGACATGGTGCGTGGGGGGGGTGGATGGTGCTGGGGTGTGTGAAAGCCATTTCAGGTATGAGCTGGTGGGAAGAATTAGCAAAAAGGAGGGAAAATGCCCCCTTCCTACCACAGGCCTTTCTGCTTGAGGCTCAAACCTTTTTATTTGAATACTTGAGCCCACTAAGTGCAGACCTAAAGGGACTGGGGAAATTTCCCCAGCAGGAGAAATATAGGTGCAAAACATGCTGAGTTTGGAGTCTCCATTTGGTACAATACCAACCTCACAAATCATCTAAGACCTTCTTTAGGGGCCCTGGGAAACCACCTGGGCCTTCCCCTCCGCTACCCTTCCCCTTTACAAGACCTATCAGGAGGTAGCATGTGTGCCCTTGGTTATTTCCCCACTCTGACTGCAGTGGAAAACTCACTCTGGCCATTTCCAGGAGTCCTGAGGGGTGAAACTGACTCTGAACTCTCCTGAGGCCCTAAGGAAATGTGCCAAGCCACTGAGCCCAGGCAGACGTGTCACTTAGCATTTCTTCCTTTCTCAGCTTTCAGCAATGGACACTTCACAGCTTGGCTGAGCCAAATGGACCTTCAATGAGCCATTTAAAAGATTCTCATGCATGCCAGTTCTCTCCTGTTTATTGATTTCCTGGTGGCAACAGGGAGGGAAACAGTCCTGGGCCTTAGGAAAATTGCTCAGGAAAACATTTTATTCATGGATCAATTAGTTGCTTTCATGGGCTTCATTGCCCTGGGGGCTCTGCCCATCCTCCAGCCACCTGGAGCTAGGAGAGGGGGGAGCAAAGGTGCTGTGGTGCCTTCTCTGTTAGTTATATGGCGAGTCATGCCCTCCCGAACACAAAGGGACAGAGACGTGTAACAGCATCTACAATACACACACGGTTCCATGGCCACTGCTCAGGCTTTAACTCTGTATGCATCACTACCCCGTCACCTGCATCCTGCCAGAGCCAGCCCCAGTCTCTCTTCTGCATTGCTAGAACCAGTGCCCTGAAACTGCTCCCTTGCCAGCCCTGGCTGCCTCTTGGCGTGGTGCCTGCACCGTCCAGAGCAGCTCAGCTACTTTTGCTTTTGATCCAGACTCAGTTTCCCCCAGCTTAGAGCAGCAAAAGGGAAGTAAGGCAAATGAGGTGAAGTCAGGTTTCAGAGGAACAGCCGTGTTAGTCTGTATTCGCAAAAAGAAAAGGAGTACTTGTGGCACCTTAGAGACTAACCAATTTATTTGAGCATGAGCTTTCGTGAGCCACAGCTCACTTCATCAGATATCAGTAATCCAGGAGATACCCTTCTGCCAGCAGGGAGTTCGCAGCTGGCATGGCAGCCACTGCTCCGAACAAATACTGACTCAGGCCATGACATAGCGTCGTCTGAGCATGGTCAGGAAAGATTCCTGACATGACAGACTCCCCCCTACTGCTGAAACTATGGCCAGCAAAAGGTCAGGCCACTGGGCCCAGGAATCCAGGTCAGTTATTTCTTCTCCCCTTCTCTGTCTGACCCTCGTGTTGTCCTCAATAGCATATGCTGCACCTCGACTCCTAGCTGCGGGAGCTCCCCTCTATCTCCCCTCCCGCACGCTTTGACCTAGTGTTGACCCCATTAGGTCACTTAGTTACTGTTTATAATGTGCTAAATATTCTTCTTTATAAGCGTTGTCCCTATTTATTGTCTCTGGGTCACTTTGAAGGAAGCTCTATATGGGTTTTCTGTGCCTGGGAAGACAGGCTCCTTTCTTCTTACCTGGTCCCCCGTACATAGCATATCATTAGACCCAGCATGCCCTATTCTAAGTCCTCAGCTCCCTAGCACTGTACCGCACACGCTAGGCTGTGATCTTCCCTTGTCAGCAGCCCAGGGCCCCAGGCTACTTGAAACAGCCTACTTGGGCTTCTCCCAAAAGAAATCAGGAGGCCAGTTTTGTGGCCTGTGGTCAATTACTGGCTCCTTTCCTATGGTAAAATCCTCCATCTCTTTGCTCTCAGCCTCAGGCACTGGGGCTTCTAGGTTCCTAGGCTTCTGACCAGCGAAGTGTCACCATGTCCCCTCCCTTCCCACTGCTCTGCCCCCACTTGCATCTGAAGCAGGGAATTCGCTACCTGTGAGTCTCTAGTACTCTTCATAAGACAATCCCTCTGGCCTCCCCCATTTCCCTATGGGATGTAGGGGTCTCTTCTCTCTGAACTCCCATTGGCGTTACTCCGGGTGGTCCTCCCAAGCTATGACAAGACAGGGAATATCCCTGGCTCTGAGATAGATGTTCAGTCTGTGTGAGAGGGGTGGAGCATTCTCTGAGCATGGGAGTGTAAACCTAGTTCAAAAGCATTCAGAGGTTAAACCTGGTGCCAGAATGATTGTGTCAGAAGCAGACACAGCACCAGTGGGGAAATAATTCACAGAGATTAGGAGGAGATGGAGGAGACCTCCATTCTGGAGTGAGACTAATCCAGCAACTCTATTGCCTTCCCTAAAGCTGGTCCCACATGTTGGCCTTGATGCATACTGGCTCCCCAGGCTCTAGCCCTTTCAATACCCCTCGCTGCTTCCATTGTCGGTCACTTTCACCCCCCTTTTCTCAGGCATCATTTATGGAGTAGCTGGCACCTCGGGAGGTAGAGAAGCCGTTCTTCTTGAGTTGTGAGACGAGGGCTAGAGTAGATGTGTTCTCGGCATTGGGCATTTTGATTGCAGCCCGACGCAGCCTTCCCCTGTATTTATCCCCAGCCAGGAAGTACAGGATGGGGTCTATGCAGCTGTTGATGCTGGCCAGAGGCCGTGTGATCTTGTAGGTGAAGTTGACGATGTTGAGGGTCCGGCAGTTGGCTTGGAAGAGCCGGGCAGTATAGTACAATGTCCGTGTGATGTGGAAGGGTAGGAAGCAGATGGCGAAGACTGTGATTACAATGATGATAATCTTGATAGAGCGTTTCTTGTAGAAGGGGATGTTCTGGTTGGAGCTGGATAGGCTGGGTTTCCAAAGCCTCTTCGCCATCAGGCTGTAGCACACAACGATCACCAGAAAGGGGATGCCAAAGAGGAGGGTCATGACTGAGGAGCTGTAGTGCACATAGTGGTCAAACTCTTCGGGCTTGGTGGTGTCGTGGCAAAGGGTGTCGTTGCCCCTGGAGCTGGTGGTGACAAAGATCAGGTTGGGTATGAGGCAGATGGTGACAATGAACCACACACCCACACAGATGAGGCGGGCATGCTTGGTCTTCACCCACCCGAGCGACTGAATGGGGTGGCAGATCCCCAAGTAGCGGTGCACGCTGATGCAGGTGAGGAAGAGTATGCTACAGTACAGATTGGCATAGAAGAGGAAGCGCACAATCTTGCAGAGTCCCTCCCCAAAGGGCCAGTTGTTGCGGTCAGCATAGTAATAGACCAGGGTGGGGAGGGAAAGCACGTACAGGGTGTCTGAGAGGGCCAGATTGAACATGTAGGTGGTGGTGGCATTCCAGGGCCTCATCTTGCAGATGAACATCCACAAGGCCCAGGAATTGAGCAGCAGCCCCACCACAGAGACAAGCCCATAGGACACAGGCAGCAGAATGAACTTAAACTCCTCATTGAAGACGCAATTCTCCTCTCCATCGCTGGTGGTATTTGCTGTCAGCTGGAAAGTGGGTGTTGGAGTCAACAGAGCAACTGGGAATGTCCTCACCAAAGTGGCCATTGCCTGAAGCCAATCTCTGAAAAAGCAACAATAATAAAAACATCCATTAATCACTGACCTCAACCGGTGTCAGATATGAAGAATCTAGGGGGCCAGATCTTCCTCTCCCAGGCATTCCTGCTGCTTAGATGATCATTTGTGGGGTTTTTCCAATGCCTCCCACCTTTGGGCCTTTACCCCTTTCTAAGTCCCCTGAGTGACACAAAGCACGTATGAGACCCTACGAGTATACGTCAGAAGAAAAGCCTGTTTCTCCCGCCCCCCCAAACTCTAGCAGCTACTCAGATAATCCCACTGTTTTCCTAACAATGAGATCTTTGTGAGCCTTAGCAGCCCCACACTCGATGCCAGCACAGCCTCTCAAAAACAGATTTAGACTAATTAGCATGTCCTCAACGATGCTGCAAATCCCAGAGGGGTGATTTACAAAGGAAAGAGTGCAGGGTCACTGGAGAGGAAAGAGTCTCGCCTGGAGACACATTCTGCTCTGGAGAAATCCCTGAAGAGCTGCTAAAGAGGCCTCTTGGAAGAACACTGTCCATCAGCATTGAGAGGGGCCTCAGGTCCCCCCCAGATTGGAGGCAGTCCCAGTTTCAGAACACTGATCTCTGAGCCACACAGAGAAGAGTCATTACAAAGTGGAGTCCCATCCCAGTGCAGCTGTGAGCTCAGAATCCAGGTGGGATATGTCCCAGGTTGCACATCAACAGGAGGGGCCCAGGAGTTGTGTGTGTCTGGCAAATGAATCCCCAGGGCAGGGAAAGAGCCATAAAATGGCTCCACTTGCATCTCAGAAAATCTACAGCCCAGAGTCCTGATTCTCCCCTGCAGGAGATGAGTAACTTGCATCCAGTAGCTTCATCCCATGCGGGAGTCGGGCCTCAGAAGGTTCTGAGCACCTCAGCAGCCCCCAGAATCTCCCTAAAGATTTTGAAATTAGCTCATTTCCCTGCCTGGCATTTTCAGAAAGGCAGCAGCCCGTCACCCAAGGCACCAGCTGCAATGAGGGACCACAGGCAGAAATCAGGAGGAGGCAACTGACAAAACTCACCAAAAGCTCCCAGTGTCACAGAAGACAAAAATGCAGCTGACTGAAGCAAAGCAGCTGCTCCAGGCAGGCACTGGATGACGTGGGCACACTTGCTTTATCACCATGCCCCAGTGCCCGTTCCACTATGAAGCCAACACTTGTGTAGCACCATTAACAAAAGGCCAAAGTCACATCAAGGGCAAGGACAAAAGGCATAAACTGGTGAATGGTGTGCTCAGTGACAGGGCCCCCTCCAAGAATAAAGGGTATCTACAGTATTTGGCCTCTCAAACCTAGAGCAGGAATTCAGGGTAAGCGGTGCCCAGCAGGCCCCAGTGCTCTCAGGATTGTCACTCAGTCTGCACCACATCCCATCACCAACCCTGAATCTACAGACACCGGCTGGTAATCCCCCTCACAGTGGATTGTCCTGCTAGCAGCAACCTGAAGAAACCGGCTCTGAAGCTCTGTTGTGAGGGGCAAGCTTCCTGATAGAATGTGGGGATGGAGAAGGTATATACTTTGGCTGTAAAGGGCACTAACTTAGATCTGTCTGTTGCACCAGTGTCTGGTTGGCTGGTCATTCCCACCACCATTTCCAGCATCAGAGGATTAAATGGATTAAAAAATGGTTACATGATAATCTCACACAATAGCTGTAAACAGGGAATAGTCATCCAACATGGGTGTTCCTAGCAGGGGCCAGCAGAGCTCTGTTCTTGGCCCTAATGCTCTTAAATAGCTTAATCAATAATCCGGAAGAAAAGCTAAAACTACTACTGGTAAAATTTCAGACGACACAAAAATTGGTAAAAAACGATGGGGACAGACCAGTTGTACAGGCTAACCTGGATCGCTTGGTAAGGTGCGATCATTTGCATAATATGCATTTTAATACAGCCAGTTGCAAGTCATACTAGCATCAAAGAATGTAGGTCACATTAAATGATGGGACACAGTATTCTAGAATGCAGTGACGCTGACAAGGACTGAAGGGTCATGGTAGGTACCCCATTTAACATGAGCTCCCAGTGCAATGCTGTAACAAAGAGGGCAAATATGACTATAGACATATACACAAGGGCATACAAGTAGGAGTAGGGAGCTGATATTACCTCTGTACAGGGCAGTTGTGAGACCACTACTGCAATAGTGTGTTCAGTTCTGCTGTCCACTTTTAAAAAGGAATGTTGAAAAATGGTAATGACTGGAGGTCTGGAAAACATGCCTTACAGTGAAAGCATTAAGAAGCTCAATCTATCAAGTTAACCAAAAGAAGGTTGAGAGGTGACTTGATCGCAGCCTATTACAGGGGTGAGCAAACTTTTTGGCCTGAGGGCCACATCTGGGTATGGAAATTGTATGGCAGGCCATCAATGCTCATGAAATTGGGGGTTAGTGTGTGGGAGGGGGTGAGGGCTCCGGCAGGGGGGTGCAGGCTCTGGGGTGGGGCCAGAAAATGAGGAGTTCAGGGTGTGGGAGGGGGCTCTGTGCTGGTGCAGGGGGGAGGGGGAGGGCTCTGGTTGAGGGTGCAGGCTCTGGGGTGGGACTGGGAATGAGGGGTTTAGGGTGCAGGAGGGTGCTCTGGGATGGGTTCGGAGGGCGAGAGTGGGATCAGGGCTGGGGCAGGAGCTTGGGACATGGGAGGAGGTCAGGGGTGCAGGCTTGAGGCGGCGCTTGCCTCAAGCAGCTCCCAGAAGCAGCGGCATGTCCCCCCGCCAGCTCCTATGCTCTGCGTGCTGCCCCATTTGCAGGTGCCACCACTGCAGCTCCCATTGGCTGTGGTTCCCACTCCCGGCTGCCCCTACACCTAGGAGCCGGAGCCGGAGGGGAGATGTGCCACTGGTTCCAGAAGCCTCACAGAAAGCCCCTGACCCCGCTCCCCAGCTGAAGCCCCAGAGTGGGGCAAGCCTACGGCCCTGCTCCCCAGTGGGACCTCGAGGGCCAGATTAAAAGGCCTGATGGCCCGGAAGCGGCCTGGGGGCCGTAGTTTGCCCACCCTGGTCTATTCGTATCTACATGGGGGAAAGATTTCCGATAGCAGCTCTTTAATCTAGCAGAAAAAGGCATAATGCAATCCAAAGGTTGGAAGGTGAAGCTAGACACAGTCAAATTAGAAATAAGGTGCGTATTTTTTACAATGAGGTTAATTAACCACCAGAACACCATCCTTATGGTTGTGGTCGATTCTCCATCACTTGAAGTCTTTAAATCAAGACTGGATCATTTTCTAACAGACATGCTATAGTTATGTGCTTGATACAGAGTTTATTGGGTGCTGTTCTCTGGCCTGTGTTATACTGGGGGGGGTCAGACTAGATGGTTTTAATAGTACTTTCTGGGCTTAAAATCCATGACTCAATGAAATTGCTACATTCTTCTCATCAAGGTCATGATGCCCAGAGAAGCTGCATGTGGCTCACAACTGTACACATGTTCAGAAGAAGACAAGGTGATAGTGCATGGTAGTGAGGATGCTGGTTTACAATGGTGCAGGGCAGAAGCCGGCAGACCTCTGTTTATTGTGTTATATCAACCTCCCGTCCTGTTTGTCTCTTTCATCTACCTGTTGTATCCTAGACATGTAGATTGTGAGCTCTCTGTGGCAAGGACTATCTTCCTCATTACTTGACTGTATAGTGCCTAGTACAACAGGGCCCTGATCCTTGACTGTGGTTCCTGGACCTACGGTAATAATAATCCTGCAGGTGGACTGGGATGCAGGTGAGACTGAGGTGCAAAGGGAGCATACAAGGCTGCTGTGTAGGATTTCCACCTGCAGGACATCCAACACTAGTGTCAATCATATCCCTTGATTGCAGTATTTACTTGTGTTCCAGATGGAACTGGATCTTCAAGCCCAAACTAAACACTCTCTGCAATTTCCCTCCAGCTACCAAAGGTGCAGATTGCTGCACAGGTTTATTACAGAGCTAAATTATATTAGTCCGTATCCTTGGAGAGCAAACACCTTGAGTTCAGAGGGCAGGCAGGCCCTATCAAATATTAACAAATGGAGCTCAGCCAGTTCCACTGTAAACAGATGAGAAAAATGGGAAAGTAGGAAAGTCTAGCAACCTTCACCAAAGTTGCTGTTACCAGATGCAGGACACTTCTGCAAGCTGTGACATGGCTTTCCTGTGAGGAATGCTGCAGGATTGTAGCATTGCCTTTGGTTATAATGACTTCCTTAAGAAACAACCACGGGAAATCCAGACACTACAGGAAATGTTGCTGGGGATTTAGGAGCTGGCCCTTGTCCCTCTGAGTCAGTGCTAAATCAATGCCCCACTGTGATGCCAGGTGACTGTGCTGTGGGAGGCATGATATTCCAGAGGAGATGAAATGCTGAACCTCCTGACCACCTGTGATACTTTTCACAAGAATGTCAGGTTCTCAGCCCCCTAAGCTGACTAGTTTATGTAACCTTATGCCTCCCTAAAATTCCTCTGCAGTTTCTATTGGATCCAGGATTCTTTTTTCTCCACTCTCCTAGAGCGCCGTAGAATATTGACGTTAATCGGCAGTCAATGTGATGTGCATGATATAAATGCCCAGTGATCGATCAGATATCTGCAGGTTCATAAATTAATAGTGCTCTATTGAAGTCAATAGAAATATGCCAGTTTACACCAGTTGAGAATCTGGCCATGGAAACAGCTGCCATGTCCCACTCCAGGGCTCTGTCCATCAATTTCTTTTTGAATATGCACAAGGTAGAGGCTTCCTGTAAGTGTTTACTGGCTAGAAGATCCCTCTGGGTCAGGTGAAGTTTGATTTATTTTGAAGTGGTGCCTACTTCAACCAGGCATTTGGTCTGGCCAGTGTGTCCCTGGGAAGCATTAAACACTTTCTCTCCTCACTGAAGGAGAGTGTAGATCTGACTTGCTGCCCAGACAGAAGCTGCTCTATTGAACAGTCCTATACAGAAAGAAAGGAAGAATAAAATGGGGTGAATGGAACGGTAAGGACAAGCCTGTGTCCACTCAGCTGCTAAGGAGTGGTTGGAGTTTTCTTTCTAGTAGTCCCCAAGGGGAAACCATGGGATTCTCCCAGGTAGTCTCTGGACTCACACATGCAGCCAGACATATGTTGAAGCCTATCTTCGGTCTAGGTCTGGATATTGGAGATGTCACCATCATACACTTCCTCATCTGATCACACCTCATCTAGGCAGAGACCAGAGCCATTCCACAATGGTAATGAACAACCAAAGTTGGTCCACTGCTGAAGACTGGTGAACTCCCTAGGTTTTCAACTCGCCCTAGGAGAAAAGCCATGCTAACGCAAGGCCAAAGCACCAATGAGTTAGTACAGTACAATCACATGTTGTCCACTGCCATTGGCACCCAACCCATCCAATTACTCCACCCCCCACTGACCAAGAAGACACCAGGGTTGAGAGATGAACGACAGCACTTGAGGTACACAGGCAGAAAGTTCAAACCCCAGAGATGCAAAAAACTTTCTGAATCCCTCAGCCAGCAGCACAAACAACACTTCCAGGACTAGGCCACTGCAGTAACAGAGTTAAAATGAGCCTTCTACTCATCAACAATAAATGCAGCAGAATCAGGGCCATCAGAGCTATTCCATACAGTGAACCAGCTAATCAACCCCGACTGCGTAGCCCAGACTCCAGAGCCAAGCATCGACCATAGTGAAGAGCTGTCAGCACACTTCACTGATAAGATCAGCCAAATACCTATGGAGCTAACTGGGACAGAAAATTCCTCCCCAATATGATTTGTATTACCTGCCCCATGGCCCATGACTGAGTCTGGCTCAATCACACAAGTCAAAGCTCAAAAATCCCTGAAACATATTAGAGCCACAACCTGTGAAACAGATCCGTGCCACTTTTGCTGGTACAAGCCAAAGAATAACAAGTCTGCCTACTCCTAATGGAAACAGTCAGTGCCCCCTCAGAGATGCACACCTACCAAACTCCTTGGAAAATGCAGTAGTTCACCCAGTCATCAACTATAGCCAACACTTGACCCTGAAGATCTCTCCAGCTACCATCCGGTCTTCAACCTTCCATACCTGGGCAAAATAATGGAGAAAATAGTTCCAACATATGACATCAGCCAACCCGTTGGATATCTCAGAATCAGGGTTCAGCTCAAGGCACAGCACAAGCTTAGTAACACTAGTAGTAACTAGTAACACTAAAAGACAATCGTCTCATGGCCAAGGACATAGGTCAGATCTCCATACTCACTGTGCTGGACCTCTCTGAAGCCTTGGATACAGTGGACCACAAGGCGCTACTAACACACCTATGTGACATAACTGGAGTAGTCAGTTCAGCATTACAGTAACTCCAATCATTCCTCTCCGGCAGACCCAGAGTGGTGATGGGTAGTGGCTCCTCCTCTCCAAAGGCCTCACTTGGTGGGACCTGTTGGATCCACACTATCCCTGCTTCTCTTCACTACTTACATGAGACCACTGGGAGAAAGAGACAGACCTCATGGGTTCAGCTGCCAACAGTATGCCAAGGACACAACTGTTTATCTCATCCTCCATTGATGCAACCACTGCCACTACTAAAGTGTCAGAATGCCTACAAGAAATAAGCACTTGGATGACGAGCAGCTGATTCAAGCTAAACCTGAGCAAAACCAAAAGGATGCTAGTTGGAAACAAGAAACACTTTGAAGAGCTGGCCAAGATGTTGTCTCCACCTTTCATTGAAGGCATGCAGCCCCGTTGGTCAGAGTGGTACAAAACCTCAGGGTCTTGTTTGATTCCTTGCTAAGCTTGGATAAACAGGCAGTATCAGTTTCCAAAAATGCCTTATTTCACCTTCAGATGGTTAGGAAACTTAGGCCATTCCCCCCGACAAGGACCTGTCCATATTAATCGATGCATTTGTCACCTCCAGACTGGGTTACAGTAGATCATTGTATCTGAAACTGAATGTCAAGATGATGCACAGGCTCCAACTGATACAGAATGCGGATGCCCACTTTCTCCATGGCATAGGCTGCCATGAGCACATCAGGCCTGTGCTCAAGTCCCTCCAGCTGCTCCAAGACCAGTTTAAGGTCTTGGTCCTAATTTTCAAAGAAATTAATGGATCGGCTACGTCGGAAACCGAATTTTGAACAGTGAATCATCATGAAAGCTGGTCTCCTCTGGGGCAATAAAAATCTCAAAGCCCTGGGCGAAGCTCATGGGGGCTGGGGACAATGCATGGAACAGTCTTCCAGAAGTGATCAAGCAAATCCAGAGCCTAATATCTTGAGGAACCACTGCAAGGTCTTCCTCTTTGAGAAAGCCTTTCCACTCTACGTGGCGCTCACAATATGAACACACCCATCTATTCTCAAACCCTTACCCACTACTATCACCCCCCAAAAAACAACCCCACACTCTATCCTAAAGAGTTTTGATTCTGAAAAGGGAGGAATGTGAGAGACTTTTTGAAGTCCACTAAGGACTTTGCTATTGTTGTTCATAGAATTATAGAATATCAGGGTTGGAAGGGACCTTAGGAGGTCATCTAGTCCAACCCCCTGCTCAAAGCAAGGACCATTCCCCAACTAAATCATCCCAGCCAGGGCTTTGTCAAGCCTGACCTTAAAAACCTCTAAGGAAGAATTTTATTGTTGATTGTATGTGGATGCCACTATAAAAATAGTGATAAATAGTAGATACATAGGAACTACTCACTATTCCTTTAGCCCTGGAGGCTGCAGAGAGCCTGAGATGGGAGAAGCCACTGTCAGATTCTGAACCGACACATCTTTCTGTGCCAGGGTCTCTCCTTAGTGGACATAACCTGGCAGTAAAGTGTCATGACAGCTGGGAGATAGGGAACATTCCACAGCTCCTTATCTCAGAAGATGGAATGATTAACCAATGGAAACCCTGTAAACTCTGCAATTCACCATTGACAGCAACATTATCTCACTGGTGACAGTGCCTTAAGGTGTTTAGGATTCCACAGAGTGAGGAAGTGGATGTGTCCTCTTTACAAAACTGCACAGGAAACTCCCCAACTCTGCACAATGAGCCCAGTTTCAGGACTGAAGGAATGAGTCACTGAGAATACCAGGCATGAAATTGCACTGGGTGGTTTGTGGAATCTGCCATATAGAGTAGAATAACACAAAGCTCCCCTGGGGTGATAGAGCTCAGCAAACCTAAGTTCAGGGTAAAGTGTATTTGGTGATGGGACCTCAGCTGTGGAACACATCTTCTATGAGTGGCTCAGACTGAGCCTGTTCAGATCTCTGGGCAAAAACCATCTCTTCACTGAGGTCTCCCTCAGGAATGGCATCTCTCTAAGAGAAGAACATTTCCAGGAATGGGGAGAGGCAAAGAGCTGCATCATGCAAATGTTAGTTGTTTGACATTTGAATGCTGTGGTGACGGGCCTTATGAATACCGGAGATAGATGCCATCTGCTGAAGGGGATGGAGCAGGGCCAGAGCTGAGAGGAAGGTAGGGAAGACATAATTGGAATCCCTCTGCTCTGGAGCAAGTTCCTCCTTCAAAAAGTGTTGCCAATAATGGCAGAACAAGGCTCCCAAAAGCTCATCTTCTCCTCATGGGGCAGAAGGGAGTGAGACAGTGACACCCAATAGGACACATGCCTGCTGCCAGCTCACAGAGAGGGATCCCGGCTTCTCTCCGTGCCCTGCCCAGGTCATCATCAAGGGACACTCCCCTGCCTCCCCACCCTTACCTCCCTGCTGATGTCCTTCCCTCAGCCCTGCCCCTCCCAGCAATCACTCCTATCAGGTTTGTGCTATCCTGGGGCCAGAGCTCTATATTTTCTCTCACTGTTGACACTGGCTGTGAAACTGACTGGGGAAGTGAGAAGATGCACCCTCCAGCTGGGATGCAGGAAAATGTTCTCAGGCCAGAGGCAGCTCAGAGCAGCTCAGAACAAGAACAGGATTCTGCACCCAGCCGAGGGGACCCTCAGTAGTCATTGTCCAGGATCCCTCCCAGTCCCAACTGGTCAGTCTAAAGTGCTCCCAATTTCAGGTGTCCTTGAGAGGGCACTGAGGATTCATAGGTTATAAAGCCAGAATGGACTATTATGATCATCTAGTCTGCCTTCCTGCATAACACAGGCTATAGAACTGCCCTGAATTAATTCCTGTTTGAACTAGAACAAATCTTTTAGAAAAACATCCTATCTTGATTTATAAATGTCCACTGATGGAAAATCCACCACAACCCTGGGTAAATAGTTCCAATGCTCAATTACCTTCACTGTTAACAAACTGCATCCTATTTCTAGTCTGAATTTCTCTCGCTTCAACTTCCAGCCCTTGGATCTTGTTGCACCTTTGTCTGCTAGATTGAAGAGCCCTCTATTATCAAACTCCTGTCCCCATGTATGCAGAGATATTGGAGCCAAGTCAGTCCCAGGATATTAGAGAAACAAGGTCCGTGAGGTAATGTCTTTTACTGGACTAATTTCTGTTGGTGAGAGAGACAAGTTATTGAGCTTACATAGAACTCTTCTTGAGGGCTCCTGAAGAAGACCTCTGTGTCAGCTCAAAAACTTGTCTCTCTTACCAACAGAAGTTGGCCTAATAAAAGATATTATCTTTCCCCATGTAGGTACTTATAGACTGCTCAAGTCACCCCTGAACCTTCTGTTTGTTGAGCTAAACAGCTTGAGCACTGGGAGTCTGTTATAATCATTCCCATGGCTGAACCTTCTCCAGTTTATTAACATCCTTCTTGAACTGAGCACACCAGAACTGAACTCAGTATTCCAGCGGTGGTGCCACACACAGAGGTGATAATAACACCCCTACTTCTCCTTGAGGTTTCTCTTTATGCATTCAGTGATCACATTAGCTCTATTGACCATGGTGTCACACTTGGAGCTTATGTTCAGTTGATTATCCACCAGTACCCCAAGTCCTTTTCAGAGTCACTGCTACCCAAGATAGCATCTCCCATCCTGTAACTATGACCTGCATGCTTTTTTCCTAGATGTAGGACTTTACATGTATAAAACCATATTGTTTGCTTGCACCCTGCTTATCAAGTGATCCAGATGACCTGCCCTGTTCATTATGTTTTCAGTCAGTTCATTGATAAAAATAGTAAATAGCATAGGGCCAAGAACTGATCCTTGCAGGACCCACTAGAAACACACCCATGCACTCATGATTCCCCATTTACAATTACATTTTAAGACCTGTCAGTTAACCAGTTTTTAATGTGTTTAATATGTGCCTTGTTGATTTTGTGCGATACCATCTCAAATGCCTTACTGAAATGTGTCTGTTACCTCACCGCTATTACGTTTATCAATCAAACTTGTAACCTCATCCAAAAAAAAAAAAAATCAAGCACCAGGGGGGTGAGGGGGGAAGGGTTCAGGTCCCATACACTGCACAGAATGTGATCCCCAGAAACTTCTTCACTGTGGCTTACTGCATCTGAATGTGTCAGTGCTCCTGTCCCTGACACATGAGGAATGCCTATACTGGAGCTGGAGGTGTAATTTCCAGCTCAGGGAGACATACCCACGCTAGCTTTGATCAAGATAGCACCCTAAAAATAGCAATGTAGCTATGGCTACATAGTCAGCAGGATGATAGCCAATGGAAGGTGCAGCATTGCCAGGTTCTGGAAGGAGATGGGCCCCATCTGTCTAGGAGAAGGGCAGAGCCTATAGAGGGGGAGGGGATGTAAGGGGTAGAACAGTGATGACCACCCAAAAAGATGTATGATCAGTGTCAGACAATGCAGCATGGACTCCCTCTCATAAGCAGCTCCTTTGTTCCCACCTATGGTTCTAGCCCACATGCAATGTGGGCAGCACTGAGATGCTGTTCGTGAAGCACCAGCCCCAGCCCCTGCAACGGCCATGCATGCAAATCTACAGTGACCAAGAAACAGTGAGCGCCACAGCTGGTGGGGGCACTAGGGGATCTCCCACTGCCCACACCAAATGCTTCCTGCTGCCAAGTTTTAAATCAAGACTGAATGTTTCTCTTAAAGATCTGCTCTGGGAATTATTTTGGGAATGTTCTGTGACTTGCGCAATACAGGAGGTCAGACTAGATGATCACAGTGGACTCTTTTGGCCTTGGAGTCTATGAAACTCCCTTCACCTGCTCTCATTGCTGGAAAAGGATACTGAACCATGTGACTTTATTCCAGGTGCCTCCTAGTTTGTATATTTACCCAGGCCGTTTAAAAGTGTCAATAAAATGAATGAGACTGTCAGTAAAGAGCCCAGATTTTTCTTTAGCAGCTCAAAGCTCCTGTCTCCTTCCTTTCAGGAGCAAATGATATAATACTCTGTTCTATCTGTGTGACGCACCCTTTCTTGGCAGGAAATTGCAAGGGTGTGTGTCCTAAGCCATCACTCAGAGGGCTGGAGTGCAGATTGCACTGCATACAGGGATGGGCATTTGGGGGCTGCTGACAGACAGACAAGCATCTCAGTGATTTAGCAGCTGAGGCACAAAACAGGGGTCATCCTGTGACCTGGGTAAGGAGGGGCGCACCTTCATCCTCTTCCACACTCCTCTAGGAAATTGCAAAACATGAGAGGAAGTAATGTAAAACTTCCTGTGAAAGGCCCCTTGTCTATAATCACTATGCCACAGTTTTGTCACAAGGGGAGCATGACCCAATTTCTCTCTATGAGCCTTCCCTTCACAGCAGCAGCAAGAACAGGCACAGTGGGGCCAGGTCCCCAAGGACCATTCCCTGAAGCTAAAGACACAGCTCAACACTGCCACACATGTCACAAGCAGCCTGCTCCTCCCCACAGTGACCCAGTTTCTCAGCCAGGCCAGATGGGAGGTGAGGGCACTTCCCTTTTCTCTGTCAGCAGAAAGATGCCAAGAGCCAGTGTTCCCACCCAACAGACCCTCATGCAATGGGATGCATGGGGACTGTGCCCTTCACACTCCTTTGGGGAGTCAGGAGGTAACCTGTGTAGTCTTTCAAAGCTAGTGGAGATCAGTGCAAGGATCAAGTCAACCTTACCCCACATTGGCCATGTGGGGTGAGGAAGAAGGTGAGGAGGTGGCCATGTTGAGGTGAGGAGTGGGAGGCCATGTTAGAAGAGGCAAAGAAGGCAGCCATGTTGTGGTGAGGAGGAAGAGGTGGTGATGGAGGGAGCGAGGAGGGAGCTACACTGGGACATGAGCTGGGGCTCTGCCTGGTGACACCACACGTTGCTTTCGGTGAGTCAGTCAGCTGTTTCTATTTAATACCCACAAAACCCAGACCCCATCCCTAGAGAAGCTTGGGGCCAGCTCCCCTTCAGGGGCAGTAATAGTATCAGTGTGGCTTGCCTGCTGAGGTTAGGCCAAACCCTGCATGCCTGGACATGGGCCAATAAGGCTGGGAGGGGATAGCTCAAGACCCCATGCTGGGGATGGTTCGATTACCAGTGTTTGGACTGTGGTGGTGCCAGAGGCCCTCATCAGGGATCAAGGCCTCGCTGTGTTAGGTGCTGTGAACACAGATAACCTCAAAGAGCTTACAGTCTGTGTCTGAGCACTTGTTGTGTGGGTCTTGGAGTGAAATTTGTTCCCCCTCAAAGTAGTTGTCTCCCTGGTCCTGGCCCCTGCCCCTTTGATTTCCACAGGTGATTTTGTTTTGCTGGTTGCTGGTTCTGGAGTGAACCCCACTCTCCAGGGCAGGACCCTCCCCCACTTAGGGTTTATTTGCCTTTCTGAGCCTCTGGCATTCATAGGGGTTAGTTTTGTGGCAGGGAGACAATTCATCCCACACCCCAAACGCCACAGATTGGCATAGGGCTCCAGTACAGTTAGAGGATCTAGGTTTTCTCTCTCCTCCTCCTTCGTGCAGGTTAGGGTGACCAGACAGCAAGTGTCAAAAATCGGGATGCAGGTAGGAGGTAATAGGAGCCTATATAAGAAAAGACCAAAATATCGGGACTGTCCCTATAAAATTGGGACATCTGGTCACCCTAGTGTAGGTTCTTGCAGTACCTCTCTGTGGCCCTTTGGGTCAGCCTGGCCATGTTGCCACAGCTCCCTGCAGGAACTCCACAGTCTCCCCACATGCCCAGCCTCACCTGCTCTCTTTGGTTTCAGAGTCAGTTCCTCAGGTGATGTGTGTCCCTGTGTGGGCTGGGCTCCAGCTTGATCCCATCCCTGGTCAGCCGGTGCTGCCGTTTCTCCCGGTCACCGTACAGCTCTTGCTTTCCCTGGGCACTTGCAGAGTTTCAGGCTTGCTCTCTGAGCATCGTGCGAAGGAGAGGGAGGGCCTGGAGTGGGGAGAGGCGGGGTCAGAAGCCAGAGGCTGTCAGTGCCAACTCCCTCCTTCCATTCAGCTCACCAGCTCAATGTGCATTTCTGAGAACACCCCGTCTTCAAGCCTGCCCATCCGAGGGGCACAGTCCCAGCCAGAATCCCTGATCTGCAGCCTCATCGCTCCCTGCTTATTCATTCCCTTTGCCCTTCCTCTGCGCATTTCAGACACTCTCTTCGCTGCCTCTTGGATTGCCCAAAAAACTTTCCAGTCCTTTGTAGATTCACCACACTGACACTCCCACTGACTAGACTAGAGGGGGGATATAGGAGCTGGGAAGCTGCAGTGGGAATGGGTGCCCTGACTCAGCTGCCTGCTTGAAAAGAAATTGCACTGCAATGGAGGGCAGTGAGAAATTTGCCTGGGGGTGGGGACGGTGTGGAAGTCACTGGCATTCTGATCACCCATCACAGGTAGGTGATCACCACCACCACCCCTCCTGTCAGCTTCCCTGTCTCCCTTTGCCAGCACTGCCTTCTCCCAGCCCCAGAAGGGGACCCGCTGGATTCCTGCTGAGGTGCGACAGGACCAAAGGCTCCTGGTTCAGGAGAAGACTCAGAACCCCTTGCTTTGCTGCTCTTTGTTGTGATGTCCTTTGAAGATTGGTTTTACTAATGATGCTCTGCATTGACCCGCTCTCTTGACACCTGCTGTCCAAAGGTACAGCCTGCATTTGTGCTGAGCCCTAGCATTCCCTTGTCTGGCATTTGGGCCCCAATCCTCCATGCCCTCTCTGCAGCCTCCTGTCCCCTGCCCCTCCCTGCTGTCTTGCCTGTGGTATCTGGCCTGGCCATCCCATCACCAGAAACCTGGTCATCAAAAAACAAATAGTGCATCATTTTGGAAAACTGAACTGAATTATAAGAGATTCCCATTTGTGGGACTAAGGTGCAGGTTGCTTTTCAGCCTCTGCCCCATGCCACATTCCTACCCAGTGCTGTACCATACTCCTTGCCTGTGTCACACCCGTTACTCAGCACCACTGCCAGCCCTATGCTGAGTCCTACCCCACACCACTCCATTTGGCCAGATACCTTGGAGCCATACTGCCAGTAAGGACAGCCTGGAGTGTTGTTTGTCTCTAGCATTAGCTAGAGTTGCCCATCTGCAGCAGAACTGAGAGGCAGGTGAGAAATGGGTAGATGCAAGATGTGGGTAACACGGCTGACTTGGAGCAGCAGGTGACACATGTTGGTGCCCCCTAAAGGCTGCAGCCTTCCAGGGTACTGGGCACCTCACAATGCCACCAGCTTCTGTCTCTGAGCCAGTGAAGGTTGGACAGAAGTGGAGCTGACAGGCAGGCCATGTCAGTCTCCCTCCTGTGGCACATTCTGCACAGGAGACATTTCCCCAGCCTGTGAGCACCAGGGTGCAGGGCTTGATACGGGGGGCAGTGGGGAATTTGATGCAGCGTGCATCACTGGAACCATGTCACTAGGTTCCATAAGGACCAGGAAAGTGCAGGAGCTGGGCAGGGCACAAAGGGCCAAGCCAGCATTTCCCCACCATTTTTTGCACTGGCTGTGTCAGTATATAGGAGCTGTAAAGCTGCCATAAGTGCCCTCTGAGCAACCCCTGCTGTACAGAGCACTCAGAGTCAGCAGAGCCGGTGCTAACTCAGCCCCAAGCACCCCCAGTAGTCCATGTGGCAGAGCAGCAGGGGTTGTGGCTGCTGCATTCCCACACTCTGGTATTCACAGCTGGCAGAAAAGCCCACAAGCCATTGACAGCTAGGTACAAGTTAGGGCAGCCCCTCAGGAACTGTTCTAACCTGGGCTGGCGGCTGCTTCAGCTCCCTGCACCTTACAGGGTTTTATTCTTCTCCGTGGTCCCTGTGCTGCTGAACTGGGCTCAGCGGCCCTGAGTGCCCTCCCACTTATCCCCACCCCACAGCAGAACTGGAGCCCAACCTCTCCCAGGGTTATTCCTGGGACAAAGGCTAGTGCTGTCACCTACGGGCCAGTCTGAGGAGAGTGCCTTCAAATGGATATCTGGGGCAGGTGTAGCCAGCAACACTGCCAGCCACCCTGCATGTTTCAGCCATGATGTCCCACGCTGGAGTCGGACAGGCTGATGCACAAACACGCCCACATCCGGCTGACGTGGCATTGAGTAGGGGCTTGACTAGATGCTCAAAGGAAACCCAAATATTTGCTCAATGTCCACCCTGAACCTCAGTGTTAAACGATACACAGAAGCTTGTGTGTCCTAGGCCCATCACTATGCATGGGCAAGGTGCAGCTGGACTGCTCAAATATTAAGAAACAGATTGCTCCATGCGGGGTACAGGAAAGAACTTGTTGAGACAAAAAGCACCAGCAGCAACATTGCAAATGGAACCAGTGTTTCCTCCCAGAAAGAAAATGCACCACAGCAGAGCGAGAGTGAGTGAGTGTGTGTGTGTGCACGTACATCACATACGCACACAAGCTCCTCCAGGACATCCTTCTACAGTGCGTGTGATTCAGACTTACAAGCGCCTCTTCCCACCAGGTCTGTCACCAGCCAACACCTGGCTCTGCTTAGGAAAGGTTTGAGCGTTGTTGCTCAGGCTTGAGGGGCATAGGCAGAGCTCTGTGGGAAGACCAAGACTAGCAGGAGGGCTGCAGGTCAGGGCTGGGATGGATGTGTTGCTAGAGCTAGCTGGAGGGAAAAGCTTCGACCAATCTTGTTCACAATTTGCCTGGTTCTAGCCAGCACCATCACCCTCCTCCTGCCTCAAGCACCAACTTCCTCCTGTCACCACAGGGTCAGAGAAACCAGGAAGTGGACTTGATGTGGAGCTTCCTCACAGCTTTGTGGTTTTATTGTTAATAGAAACAGAAAGTGCATCTCATGAGAAACCAGCAATATGGAGCCTATAAAAACTCCATGAGGCAACTGCAGCTAAACACAGTGTGATTGAAGGCACATGGCAGGAGGATGTGGGGTGCTCTGCAAACACCTACCTGCCATATAAGGGGCCGAGCAAGCAGCTTTGTTCTCCCACAGAGGGACCAGGTCTCTGCCCTCCAGGGTGGCTGGAAGAAGCTGTTGCCCATACATAATAAGTGCATTAGACTAGAGTGTTCTCCCCTATGATGCACTTGGAGGCCCCATGATGCTGCAGTGCTGGGGCTCTGTCCTCCATGTGATGTTTCAAAGTTCATTTCAGAGCCTAGAGAAATCAAGCCCTTGTGACCAAGCTACAACGCACATCTGGTGCTCCAGCACCTGTGTGGGCAGAGACTGGGAGAGGTGCCCAGCTAGCCCAGGTTGTAGAGTCACTACCTACATCAGCTGTATCAGACTCAACAAGAAAAGTCTCAGCTCCAGTGCGATGTGGCCACATGGACTGTTGCTCCCACCTCCCCTGGCTCAGAGTGTATCATGCCTCTATACAAGTGGAACAGGGCTCAGCATTAGGATCCATGCCCACCAGAGGAGAAGCCAGGCCCTATCTGTGGCTCAAATAGGGTGACCAGACAGCAAATGTGAAAAATCGGGATGGTAATAGGAGCCTATATGAGGAAAAGACCCAAATATCAGGACTGTCCCTATAAAATCGGGACATCTGGTCACCCTAGGCTCAAACAGAGAAGGAAGAAAAGTTAGTGCTGGAGTCGCAGTAGCTGCTGGGGCTCCCCTGCTACATTCTGGCTCCCCTGAATTCCCAGTCACCTCTCCATGGAACCCGGCTAGACAGTTTGGGGTTGTGGCAAGTTTCACCACAAGGCTAAACGTCCTTTTGGGTCCAGGCCTTTGGCAAAGCCTCAGCCAGATGCACAGGGCATGTCTGCAGCCACCGCCAGGGGAGATTATGCACGATGATATCAGAGTGACAGTGAAGGTTGCAAAGGAAGGCAGCAAGGGGGATATTTCCAATCCAGAGGCTTAGCCCAGTGACACTGGATCTTGGCCCTGTCCCAGGGACAGAACACCTTCAGCAGCTCTCCACCCCCTGCACCAGGCAGCTGCCCAGAGGAGATTAGAAGGGCACGGAGGAGTCTGGATGCCAGATTCACTATAGGTTTGATTTCAGACTGGGTCCCTGCTGCAGGCTCCTGGGGCTGCTCTCATGGAGCTTGGCTTGGAAGAGCTTCCGATGAGTGGTGTTCAGCACGCCAGTGTCCAGCAGGTCCTGGTCAGTGATATTTCTAGACAAGGGAGAGAAGGAGAGAAACTGAGGGAGAAGCCAGCAATGCAGCACAAGGCAGGGGACTCAAGGAAGGGGACTCAACCACCTATGACTATTGGACATGGAAGGACTATGGGACTCCACAGGTCATCTCCCCCTAGTCTCTGCCCTGCGCTCTGCATCCAGGGCTCAGCCAGGAGACCCCAACTCTCCTCCTGCCCCATGCTGAACTCAGAGCTCTTGCCAGGATGTCTGGAGGCACACGAGCTGGACTGTCATACTCCAGTAAAGCACAGTGGTACACATGAGCCAATGAGCCCTCACACACCGCTATCCTTACGATACCTGAAGAATTACAGATCATCCCAGCTGTTTTCATACAGCCCTTCCTCATACTGTTCCAGGCCCAAGCGGCTCAGCCACATGCCAACATTCCGGGGTGATCACCACTACCACAGGGCCACTCGGAAAGAAGAACCAGATTATAGCCCAACAGCATCACGCCAGGGGACTACAAAGCAATGACTCTAGCCCCAGCTCTGCCGAGTCTCCTGAATCCAGTCCTGTGCTATCCCTGCTCATCCCCCCTCACAGTTCTGCTGAGATGCCTCCCTTGTGACCTGCAGCATTCTACTGTTCCAGCCCCAGGCCTTTCCTGAGCCAGACTGACTGTGGTACCCAGTGTGGACAAGGGAACTAGGATGGGAGACCCCAAGCTCGCTGGTGCCCAATCAACACATTAACACGCAGGTCTCCAGAGATTTGTGCATTAACATCCTCCCTACACCTGAAGTTCCTTCAAGGCCCAGCATGAAGCCCTTGCCAGGCATGGGGTGTCTTGTCTTGATGCATCATGTCTACCTGGCGCATGAGCCAGTTGGTGCTTTCCAGTGTGGGTTGCCCGGGACATACCTCTCTAGCACGGTTGAGTCGGCGAGTGTCCCGCTGGGACCCTGCCCCCTCCCAGCAGCTCTGCGGTGGTGGCTCCAGGGCGCTGCGGGTGTGGCGGAGCAGGTTCTTCCGGCCCTCTGGCTGGCTGGGGTCCAGGCAGCTTCCTCTCTTGTGGGACTCTGTGTCCACGTCACTGAGGCACCAGGCCATGTGCAGGGCTGTGAGGGAACAGTCACCCGACGTCTGCGGGTGTCTCGTCAGAATGGCTGACTTGGGCCTCTTGTGCCTCCCAATCTGGGAGGGGCTGAGCTGGTGCCCACAGGAGATGATCTCGGGCACAGAGTAGTGGGGGCTTCTCCGTAGCTGTTCCTTGGAGGAGGAGCAGGCTTGTGCTCCTGTCAGGCTCTGGAGCCTGTGGCATGGAGAATGGTCCAGGTACCTACAGTCAGCCTGCCTGTCACTGGCCTGACTGTAAGGAGGCTCAGACAGGCTGGGACACTGCACCCAGGTGTTGGGGACCCCCTCAAATATGAAATAGGCTGGATTGGTGTAACTGCCGGCTGCCTCCGGGAGGCTGAGGGGCCGGCTCCTGAAACAGACAACAGTCAAGTGGGTGTTTTTGCCCAGAAAGACAACTCCAACAGATAGATCATCCCAACACCCTGGGACAAACCCAACCCCAGTTCCTGGCAGAGACAAACTGACCGACATCCCCAACACCATGACAGAGAGACAACCATGGCACTCTAGGGCAGATGGACCGACAATCCTAGAAGACAGACGGACAAGCAGCTACTTCACCCGCTCAGAATGCACCCTCATTCGGAAACTGAACTGAACAACTCCCATCATGAGCCCTGGACTGGCAGCACCAAGTGTCCTAGCAGGTTAATGGCCAAGGCGCGGCATGCTAGCAGCGTTACCTGATGGCACGCAGAGCTGGCTTGGAGAGGGTCGGGAAGTCGGACTCCGTCTCGTCTGTCTCAAAGCTGATCCACTCTGCACAGAACAAAGACTGTAACGGTTAATGGGAATGCAGCAAAGGAAAGTGTTTCTACTGAACTGTCAGCCCGGATGGCGGGAACTCCCAGCTGCTCCAGTCCCAGCCTCTCCCTGCTGGGAGCTCTAGAGGGAAGGGGGCAAGAGGAATGGCAGCAGGGGAGCTCCCACTTATTCCAGGCCTGGCCTCTCCTGGTGCCTCCTGGAGCAGGAGAGATGGCTGCAGGGGAGCTCCCCCCAGCTTCTCTGGGTTTTCCCTGGTCCCCAAGTGGGGAACTGAAGCCCATATCTCTGAAGCAGCAGCAGTTCAGTGGCATGGCTGTATTACCGTAGAGCCTCTCGCGTGTGCTCCGCCTGTCCTTGGGGACTCGGACCTTCATCCAGCCACGCATGGAGCCTGTTTCTTCACCCCGGTGGAAGAGGAAAGTCTCAAACTGCTGGGCCAGGCTGCCAATCATAGATCTCATGGCAATGCAGCACTCACCTGCCCAGAGAGCACAGCATCACCTCAGAGGGTGGGGCACCCCATAGTCACTCAGGCATCCACCAACAGCAGCTAGCATCCTCCTCCTCCCACTCGCACATTCCCATGGAAAAGTACTAGGACCAGGGACTGGTGGATGCCACACCACAATGTGACATCCACCAGGAGCATGGAGCTGTTCATATACACAGAGCTAGTGTCCATTGGGGGTGGGGGTGGCTTGTCCTGCCAAAACTCCAGATGTGTCCCTAGTTTCCCTGTAGCTTGGAGAAACCATTTTCTCCTGGGGGAGATGGGAGTCAGTCTCCATGGTCACCACATTCAGGCTACAGCACGTCTTCAGTGAGGCACCAGCCTCTCCTTCCTGGGCCTGCTCTGATGGTCAGGGCCCTGCACTATCTGCAGGCCCCCAGGTCCTCCCCCTGGGTCCCAGGGGCAGCAGGGGCTGAAGGACAGTGCCCTGCACTGCTGTGAGGAGACCTGGCTGCTGTCCCTCAGTCTAGTCTCTTGCTCCTTGCTTCAGGAGGGGGCAGGTTAAGCCACAGTGGGACCTGGACCCTTCACGAATGTTGATGCTCACACTGATCCCCCTGGTCTCCTGCTCTGGGCTGCTCCAGAACACAGGGAGCCCAGTAGAAATCACCTTAGCCCTCTGTGGGGTTCATGTGCCATCCTGGCCACTCCCTAACACTCCCCCTTTAAGAGGATGTGCTGGACACACACCATATGACTCGCAACTGTCCATGCCCTTGATGCTGAGGAGCAGGTGCTGGTCCAGCAGGTACTCCAGGTCCGACAGGATGGGGCTCAGCTGCACAGGGAGAGACAACAACTCTCAGAAGATCTGCAAACTGCCAATCCAGCCACAAAGCCTGAGTTCTGGGCCTGAGCACTGGGCTTAGGTACAGTGACATCACAGTGACCCCACTGTCCTGTAGTGCAAGGGAGAAAGCCCCAGTGCTCACCACTGGGTTCACTCTGTGTGCAAAAGAACTTACTCAGGAGATCAGCCAGGGAAAGAGAGCACCAGGGAGTCAGGACAGAGGGAGAGGGATGGGGTGCCCCAGGGGCAGGGCCTGGGAGAGAGAGGAATGGGTATGCCAGGGGAACAGGGGATGGGGGGGCATTTCAGAGCCAGTGGGGTGGGAAGTCAAGGCCAGGGAAGGGGTGGAGAAGCCAGGGAGTCTAACAAAGTCTACAGGCTGTCACTCCTTATAGTCTGCCTATGTCCTTCTCACCTGCTTCCCCTTTGTTGTGCCAGACACAGCCCATGCACACCCCCCCCTCACTGTGCTTACCACTGGCAGCTGTTTAGCTGACCAGCTGAGTTTGAGGAAGCCCGGGATGTCGCTGCTTTGGGAGCTGTTCTCCCCACTCCGCTGAGACTCTGGCAAGAAATTAAGAGAGAATTACAAGAGCAAAGCGGTGTCCTGCTGCCAACCTACCCACCCCTCTCTCCACCTGCTACCAGCCTCATGCCTCTTCCCTGCCAGCTCCAACCTCTCCTAGGCACCATCCACATTGCCATGGGGAAGGGGAGTGGACTCAACCCAGGACAAATCCCAGTTGTTTGCCATTGAGATAGAGCTGCCAGCCCCACTGCCCCCAGAAAAAGAATCCCAACACAGGAACAGACTGCACGGAGAGCACATCACCCACTGCTGAAATGCAGCCACCTCTGAGGTGAGATGTAGCCTCTGCTTATACCATGCACAGCAATGGTGTACAACAGGACAGGAAGTTTAGAAGAGGCCCAATCCTTGTGAAACTCAAGGTTGTCACAATCTAACCCAAGTGTGACACCAGCATTACTCTTCAATTCTCACACAAAATGTCTTGGGATATGTAATGAGCGCAAAAGGCCAGAAGCTTGGCTGTCCGTCTCACTTGAAAAACAGCACCTCGTGCAGCACAGCAGCCTGGGCCCTGAGGTCAGTAACGATTCCGGGGCGGCACCCCCTTCTGAGGAGCCCTCTGCAACACAGCGCCCCTTAGCACTGCACCGGGGTCATCACTGACTCAGTGAGGAATGTCACCTGTGCTGCCCCCTGGCAGCGCTAGGTTTTCCTTGCTGGTCTCCCTTCCGGGTGCTAGGCAGGCTTGGCATGTGGCCGGTAGAGATGCCCAGGCTGCTCTCACCTTCCAGGCAGTAGGAGTGGAACTCAATGTAGCACTTGCTGCGGCTGGCTGTTTTCACAATCACCTCGATGCTGTCCCACTCGATGCAGGCCAGGGACTCGGGGCTGGAGCCAGGAGCTGCCAGCACAGAACGGCAAATCAGTGTATGCTGACGGGGCCCCACCCTCTCCCCAGATCTGTCCCCTCAGATGGGGTGTTCCCCTGCTGGCTGATATGACTCCTTGAGGACCTGGGCAGGGTGTCAGATTGCTACTACCCCAAAAGTAGCAGGGAGAGTCATAGCTCAGGTCTGTCTGTGGGGTCAGCAAAATGAGTTCCTTGGATCCTACTCCCCAGGCAAAGATTGACCTATTCATCTCCCCACTAACAATGCTAACCAGCACTGCTGGCTGGTAGCCCTGTGGCGACATGTGTTGGCCCTGAGGACACTGCATTTTGAAAGTGATGGCAGAACCTACTCAGCACATACGGGGCTAGGACTGCAGCACTCCAGCCCTAGATCCACCAGGGAAGCAGGCCCTCCCGACCCTGTCCAGTGGCCAACGGGAGGCAGCCTTCTTACCCTTCCTAGGCACGAACTGAGACGTCACTCCCACCTCAAATGTGGCAAAGACAGGCGAGTGGTCACTGGTCACAATGTCATCAGTGCAGCCTGAAACACGGAAGAGGGAGCCACGTCACTGCCACAGAAACCCACTGTTCCATGCCCCTGTTCCAGGCTGGGCCTTGAAGGTGCCAGGCTAATGGCCTTTGTGCTCCTAGGCAGCTCCCGGGGCTCCTCACTCACCATATGAGTTACAGAGCATGTGAGTCTCAGGGTGTGACTTCCACAGGATGCGATCGCACCACGAGGGAACGTTGATTCTCACCTACAACCAAGAGCAAATAAGCTTTAGGTGCATGGCTGAGCCTGGTTTGAGCTGCTTGGATTTCCCTGCAGCCTCTGACACTCCCAGCGCATCTCCCCTCCCAGCTGAACTAGGGAGGTTACTATCCTGTTCATTCCCAAGGGCAGGGTACCGTTCATCCCAGTGTCCCTGAAGGCATGGGTTCCCCGCTGCTCACTGTTCAGGGACAGCACAGATCACAGCGCGAGAGAGGCAGGGAGTGTAGGGTGAGGCAGTGTGGGCTGAGCACTGGGCTGGGAGCCAGGAGCTCTCGAGCCCTAACCCCAGCCCTGCCATTGCCTCACTCTGGACTTCCTTGGTCCAGCTATTCCCTCGTGGCCACAGGCCGCCAGCACAAGCCAGAGGAGCTTCAGGGATCCATCCTGAGAATAGGGATGGCTCAAAGCCACAGTGTCTTCATCCCTACCCTTAATGCAACTCAGCTGGAATACAAACTCGAGCCTGCGGGCCCAGTCCTATTCCCTCTCCCAGCCAGGTAGGACCATAGAGCACCTCACTTGGGACAGTCCCACATGGGAGGCCTGGCCAGATCCCAGCCCCTTCCTCTCGAGGCCAGACACTCACCCCTGTGGTTTTGAACTTCTGCCAGACATAGCTGTCCCGGGAGCCCCGTTCGTATCGGTACGTGGGAGGGAAGGAGATGTCTCCCTCACCTGGAAATGGAGCAAACAGGAAGACCTGGAGGCGAGACTGCGCCAGACACCCACAGCCCAGGGCAGGCACATACTGCCCACAGAGCCCATGGCAAGGCCAGAGAAATCCAGTCAGATTATTCTGTCAGACTAGAAAAACCACCTCCTCCCCCACTGACACACACACATCTACTAGTGCCCCTCAGCCCTGAACTTCATCCCTGCTCTTGCTCTGCCAAAGCACTTCTACCCTGGCCTGTAGCCCCTCTGCTATCCAGCCCTGGGCCTCTCCTCAGCGCAGTGAACTGTGCACAAACATCCGCTGGGGACTAAGCTGAGCCATCTACCTCACTGAGCCTACCACCTGAAGCCGGGTTTCTTTTGTGCACCTCAAGGTTTCTTGCATATTTAGACACCATGTAGCTGGGAGGTGACACTAGACTGTTCATGGCTGGGGTAGGCGACAGAGTGATGGCTTGGATGGGTGAATCTGTGGAGTCTAGGTGTGGGGGGTGTAGTGAAGCTCATTGGCCCATAGCTGTTATCTGCATCTTGTCAGGGGTTAAACCCCAAACCCCATCCTGGCTGTGCTGTATCTGCTGTTTTTGGGGACCTGGGGGCTCCAGTCTCTCCTGCACATTTTGGCAGCAGTTGTAGAGCTTGTCCTGCCTTCAAGCATTGTTGAATTGTGAGTGCAGGAGGTGGCCAGGGGGCATGGTATACGGGAGCCTTGCTGGGGGTGAGGCTGCAGACGGGCAGGCAGTGCTCTGGGGGGGCAGTGTGGGCTCCCCATCTGTCCCCATAGCACTCACTAAATCGCAGGAACACCTTGTTCTTCTCACGCTCCAGGGTGAGCTGGTCCACGGCCAGCAGGGCCTCAAACTCCTTTTTGTTCACATGAGCTAAGATGTCCTGAGAGGGAAGAAGGGAAGGTCCATAAGCGCTAAGGTTTGCAGGGCTTTTCTGTACCCTTCCCCCAGCACAGGCTCCCACCACAGGAGTCCTCAGAGGAGACAAGGAGCTCCATGTTCACAGTCCACACCCATCCCCTGCATGCCTTTGGGGCTGGGCTGGGATGAGGGTCTGAGCTGCCTGCCCCAAGAGTGTTCCCACAGGTAGCCCGTTCTCGAGAGCAGCTGTGTGGAGCTCAGCAGCAACCCAGGGCACAGATGGGACCAGTGTCCTACCTGGACCTCCATATCAAGGCGGTAATTGAGGTCTCCAAACCAGAAGAGGTGGGTGAAGCGCAGGGTGAGGTCGAAGCTGCTGAGTCTCTTGTCACCCAGGACCAGAGAGCGCAGAATGTCACTGTAGTTCTGGTTCCGCCTGCACCAGATGAGGGTGGCACAAGGCAGAGCAAATCAGGGAGATCCCCCAGGACTCCAATGCCCTGCAAATTTGCAGGACCCTACCTGCCTCCACAGATCCCCCTGAGACCCAGCTCGCCCTGATCCCTACCTGCCCCCACAAGGCCCCCTCTCCCTGACCTCACCAGTTCCCAGCCCCTACCTTCCAATTTGACAGTGATCAAAGTGACATTAACCCCAGCCCCTTCAAGCCAACACCTTGGCTTCTCCCCAGCCCTGCAGTAGGCTGGACAGTGTGGACATCTAGTGGACATCTACTCCAGCCAGCTGGAAGAGCGCAGCCTTTGGGTGAGCATGTCCAGCCCAGTACCCAGGCTGTCTGGCCATGGCCGGGAGGCTGAGATGAAGGCTGACTGTGGCTGAGGCAGAGGAAAGGCCAGGACGTGGTTAATCAATACAGGAGGTGATGCACTGGCTATGGGGCAGCTGTGCTGGCATTCCCAGCCCCCTGAGGGTCTCATATAGGAACAGGGTTCAGGAAGCAGCCCCCCAATCACCTGTGTGTCTTCTCGCTCCCCGAGGCCAGGTGGCAGTTCACAAACCCAAACGACGTCCCGTTGAAAAGGAAGGAGACGCCCACAGCCCCTTTGTTACCTGAGGAAACACACCAGGCACAGTCAGCCCTCAGCCCTGCATGTTCCCCTTGCTGGGGGCTCCGCACAGGACCTGGCTGTCCCCATATGCTCTGATCCCCACTGGGACCTGAGACCTGCTCACCCCCTGGTATGGCCCCCGGAGCACTCCCCTCTGCCCCAGATACAACCCAAAGATTGCTCCCCAGCTCCCCTCCCCCTGTCCCAGATACAGACCCCAGACCACTCCCCTGCCCCTTCCCCAGATATGGCCCTGGAACATGTCCCTCCTCCCACCCCAACATGGCCCTTCGAGCATTCCCCTGCCCCGCAGTGTTCTCCTCTCCTCCCACTCCAGCCCCCAGATGCCCTTCCCCTTTTGCTACACCTAGTGTGTTTGCAATTCCTGTTTTCACACTTGACGTGTTCACATGACTGATCCGGCGTTCGTGCTCTGGTTTTACCAGCACCACAATCTTGATGCTCCAGAGGCACTGTAAGGCAACCTGCAATGAGATTGGGGAGGGAGTGAGACCACCCCAAGAAAGAGTAGGGGAATGAGAGCACACTGTCCTCTTCTGGAAATCACGCTGCAATAGGCAACCCTCCTGCAGCTGGGCAAGGCATCCCTGAAGCCTTGTGTACAAACACCCCCTACCTGGGCCCAAAATCAGGTTTGGATTTGCAGCGTTTGCTGGGTCTGGCCTGAGCCATTAGCTCACTCCTGGGTTCTGGGCAAGGCCTGTCTGAGCTCAGGCTGTGGGGAGATTTCTCAGGCCTTCGTCCCAGCTCTCTGGGCATGACCATGGCCATCCGTGCCACAAGGCCTAGCTGTAGAGGCCACAGCCTGAAAAATGGCACCACACAGATCAGAGAACATGTCCTGCCTAGGCAGGCACCTACGAGGATAGCTAAGATAGAATTCAATTCAACTGAAGAAATTACTCTCCCAATGGGGAGAAAGGGAGAGAGAAGCCAGGGCCGTGAGATAGAGAGAAGAGGACACAAGTGAGAGGACAAGCTCAGCTTCCCCATCTCCCACTGGAAGCATCTGTGGGTCCCTGAACTGTTCTCCAATCCTTCAGCCAACAGGTGGCAAGGGGGATGGTGAAGGAAGCAGAAAGGTGAGGTCAAACAAGCCACCAAAGTGTCTGAGCACCAGGTCCCAACAACAGGCTCCATTGGGGGAGGGCATCTTTTCTGCTTGTCAAGGGCTCTGGTAGTGTGTTGGATCCCTCTGGCTTTATCTTAGGCAGTTGGTTATGGGTGTAACAGCCCCAGAACAATTGGTTGCTGAGTGATCTACTTCCAATAATAGTTGGATGCAGGTAAGTCTTTCCAATAGGCTCTTTACTGAGTGAGTGCTGGCAGGCACCGCTCCTTACAAAGCCAGAGAGGGCAGGTAAGGTAAGGGGAGTCAAGAGGAACAAGGGATACTAGGGGACATGGGTGCTGTCCCTCCCTCAGCATTGGTTGAATGGGGTGGCCTGGGCCCATACCACTCGGAAATCTATGGACATCAAGGTCTTCAGAGAGGCTCGCAGGAACTCCACCCATTCGCGGTCCCCCAGCGAGTTCTCCTGGGTGCCAATAACATAGATGTCATGTGGGATGCCGGCTGTGGTCTCATCCTGAGTCTGTCCCAATCCCCTCGATGTCAGCCATGAAGCCATGGACCTGGGAGGTGGAGCGCTGCCTGAGGAGAAACGAGAGATGGGATCAGATTGCTACATTTAATTGCCTCCCCACCCCTGCACCAACCCAAGCGCATTGGTGGAATATGAAGTCCATGAATTGGAACCACACTGGGTGAAGTGGGATTTGGTTACCTCTCATTCTGCGCAGGGCCCTGGGGGGTCTAATAGGTCCCCTGTCAAGGATGGAAAGTACCATGGCAGCTCTTGAGTCCAGCCAAGAGACCTCTTGTTTCTGAGGTTTGCTGCCATGTCCCACCACCACTGACCATATATCAGCAGCTCTATTTACTCAGCAAAAATACAAGGTGTGGCAGATGCATCATGATATTGACCCACCATAGCGCAGACGAGCCCAGGTAAGGCCTGATGGCGAGGGCTTCTCCAACCTTCTCACCCCACCAGGACTCAACAAGGATCTCAGAACTCCTGGGCATTGCTCCCTTTGGAAATCTCCAGAGATTTCAACTCCAGAACTATCCCTGGATTCACAACAAGAACCCGTTGTCACGCTGGAGGTCTCTGAGTTGTCCCTACTCCTTACCCATGTTCCATGTCCCAACGTACACAGAAATGAGGTCTGGCTCATCCAGGTTGGAATGCTGGATCTTCATGAGCTGCAGCAGTTGACAAAAGGCCTCTCGCTTCTGCAAGAGAAGAACACGACTGCCTGCTTGGGTCCTGACACAGAAGGCAGAGTTCAAGAGAACATGGTGCCCAAGCTGAGCCACAGGTCTGTCCCCACAGATCTGCAGACTGGTGGTGGCCAATGTTTAACTACCAGTCTTCAGTGCAGGGTTCATCTGTATCACCCTGGAGCATCCCTAGTGGTGGACAATCCTGCTTTTAGCTGTAACCCCCTGTCTAGTGATGATCAATGGATGTAACTGTCCTACGACCCACTTCTTAGGAGAAGAGCACAGGAGAAAGGGCCTCCAGGACCACAGTCAAGCTCACATGGGCATCATGGAAAGAGGCAATGAGAATAAAACTTGACCATGGTTGGGCTGTCTGGTGTGGCAAGACCACTGTCAGTCGTGCTGACCAGCATTGTCTCATTGTGTCCTAGTTCTCCCCCGTCTGTCTGTCCGCATCCACCTGTCATCTTGTCTTCACTTAATGTGAACTGTTTGGCACAGGGACTGTCTTTTCATGTTGCGTGGTGCAGTGCCTAGTACACTGGGGTTCGGGCCCACTATAATAATAAACCCCCAGGGCCGCAAATCTCCAGGCTCCTACCAGCTAAGGAGTAGAGGGAGAGGAGGCCCCATGCTCCAGCAGAAAGCAATGGAGCACACTGCAGCCTCACAGGCCAAGCCTCCTTGCTGAACAGTTCAGAGTCTAGGGTTAGTCTGTGATTAGCTCTCTTCAGTGCACCTCCCAGCATAGTATCTAGGTGATTCATATAAGTGCCATGGTCATCAGCTACCTGTAAACACACATGTGAGGCACACAGGGAAAAGAAGCACAGGGAAAAGAAAAGCAAACAGACAGGGAATCAGGATACTGGTTCCTCTCTACTGGATACCAATAAGCTAAGGGCCAGCTCTGCCGACTCACACCAGAGGTGGAAAGCAGTGCTGCCTGAGAGGTCTTTCCCACACCAGCAGAGGGCAGTGCTGCACAGCCACATGAGCACCTGGCTCTGAGGATGGGCTGAAGCCCCTTGTTCCCCTCTCTGGTTTCATGGTGATGTTCCATCTCCTGGGTGCTGAGGGGAAGCCCTCACTGACTTTTTCAATGATCCCTTTGGGGGGGACAGAATACCCTACATCCAGGTGTCACTCAGAGAGCTTGCTCTAAGGGCCCCTGCACGTTCCACGCCAACATCCCCTCATTGCCCACATACAGCAGAGCATAAGTGGGTTTCCTACCGGCCAATTCTCAGAGGTCGGGCAGAGAGAGCCTGGATGCCAGCCCACAAGTAGGGCTAGTCTGCACCAGGGGCAAATACTGCCCTGAGGCCTAGCCCTAGTCTTTTGCTGCAGTGAAGCTGGCGGGAGCCCAGCCTGGGGAGGACCTCTTACCCGTGCGTTCTGGAAGATGAAGTCCCTGGTCAGGCTTCTGTGTTGATCTCTGTCATACACCAGCCTCACTTTGCTCTGCATGCTCTGGTATTTAATCAGCTGCAAGACTGAAGACAGCCACGCCAGCGACAGTGAGACACAGAACAGCACAACCCCCAAAAGCACAGCCAATACACACCAAAGGAAGGGTCCTGCTGCTGCCTCTCAGCATGACACAGAGGGCTGTGGATACGGCTGCCCCTCATTCCCCCAGGATGTCACACTGCAGGAAGGCAGCCGGCACTGAGCTCACCAAGCGGGGCTCTTGTGTGCATCCAGCAGGCTCTGGCTTATTCCTCCCGTCCTTGGGATAACTGTTCAGCAGATTACCCAGGATGAAGGAGCCCATCACCCTGGCTTCAGCCAGGCAGCCTAGTGATGGTCATGTTCCATTTGTGCACCACAGAGTATTCTTGACCTCTCACTGCTGCTTCTCCCATGGGTCTACTTCCACAATGGGCCAATTACCCAACAACCTTCCAAGGCCTACGCCAAGTCAATGGAATGAAGGGGTTTCCCCTACTTTTGTCCTGAGAGATGATCTCCTCTGGAGAGCTGCAGCCCCTCTTTGTGATGGCCATTGTCCCAGACTCCACGTCCACTGTCAGGGAAGCCCTCTGTGTTTTGCCCACTTTCACCTGCAGCACAAAGAATTAGGTTATTGAGGCAGGTGCAACTAGGCTGGGTGCAACTGAGCGCAGCAGCAGGGAATGTATGCCCCTTTATCTCTGTATCTCCCTGGAGTGTACAGATGGGCCAGGGGCTACCCCTCTGCTGGAGGGGCACTGCTCGATGAGCTCACTAGGCAGGTGCTGTAGCTGCTTGAAGGCTGACTTCCTCCACTCCTATGTCTGAACCCCAATGTATTGTGGCAGGTATAAACCAGCTCTTCTCACGCTAGCTCCCGCTGTCCACTGGAGAACAGGAGAAGGGCAGCCCCACAGATTTCCTGCCCCTCCCTCCAGATTGGCTTTCTCAGCTGACTGAAGGGGAAATCACACCCCATGTTGCCGCTCCGACAATCCCACTGCCCAGATGGCCCACAAGCTGCAGGCCCCACATTATGTAGGGCCCAAGCTGATCATGCCCACCCGAGTCTCTGCCTGTGCTGGGAAAGGCCCTATCAAAGGCCCGACAGGAGCAGTGCAGCGGAGCTTGCCACACCTAGGCGCCCCTCTCACCTCAAAGCTCTGCACAGCCATAGGCTTGGCAGTAGGTGGGTGCACCACAGCCACATTGGGAAGAGCCAGTTTGTGCTTGATCACTGTCTCCTGCAGTGTCTTCAGCACCTACAGAGAAAGAGTCAGAGACAGGCAGGCAGGTGGTAAGCAACACAAACAGAGGAACCAGCTGCCCAAGGGAGAGGGTTCAAATCCAGCTGCCTTGCCAGCAGGTGAACTTGGGTTTAGTGGGAGCAGGAGATTCTAACGTTGCTGGCTGCAGGGCATGGCTTGGCCTTCCTGCTAAGCACAACAAGTGGCAGGGGGAACTTTGGAATTGGGTCCTGATGAGGTACCACTTGCTGTTTGCTCTGTGTCTGCACAGATTAAAGTGAAGGCAACACCACCTATTAGTCAGAGAGGGAGACTGGAGCCCTGGGTTCTGTTCCTGGGCCTGCCAGTGACTTGCTTGCAACCAGTCACCTCCTCTTTTGGTGCCTGAATTTACCCATCAGCTATTGGCACTATCTGGCATGTATTGACTGGGCAGTGCTGGAGCCATCAGGGTGAAGAACTCAGGCAACAGTCAGCAGAATGTGCTCCCTCCCGCCCAGCGCTCCTCTCACCCAGGGTGGGGACAAGGTGAACAGCTCGTGTTTGGGAGAGCCATACACAGACTCCGTCAGCTTCGCCATGGAGGCATCCAGAGTGATGGCTTAGCTACAAATCACAATGCCCTGCTCTGGGAAGGAGGCGATGACACAGATCTGTCCCTCATGGCTGTCCTGCAGGAGTGGCAATGTCACACTGCTGGTGATAGACATCTCAGAGAAAGTGAGCAGGAATTGGGAACCAGGTGACCCAGTGGGGCAATACAAAGAGCAGGGAGGCCCAGAGGCAGAGGTTGGTTTTTGAAAGTGTTAAATTGGTAATGCGAGTTGTGAGTAAGGTGTGTGTGTGGGGGGGGGGGGCTGATTGGCTAGAACCTGTTAGGGGTGGGGCTAAGGAACTATAAAGCATTCTCCAGGTGGAAGGAATTTCCTTCCCTCTAATCTAATGAGAGGCCTGTGCTCTTCCTGAAGTTGTCTCTAATGTCTGGGCGCTCAACCTAGTAGAAATTTGCTCTATCTGGGTTTTAATTTATCCCAGGAGTTTGCTCAAGTTTAATGATCTTATTCTAGTCTGGAGAGCTAGGGGACATTAGTAAAGGTTTAAATTAGTAGCTCTTCTACCCTTCATGGGGGAATTTATAAAAGGATATTTCTTCAGAGGTTGTTGCTGTAATTCTTGTAATTTAAATTTACTTCCTCTGGGATCTTAAATTCTAAATCTCCCTATATTTAATGGAATTCTAACTTCTGCTCTCTTTCTCTTCTTCTTGTAGCTTAATCCATGACAAATGCACTGCTCATGTGCCATGGTTGCAGTGTGGCAAACTTGTTACCCTGGGCTTCTTTGCAGAGTAACAGTCCCAAGCCCTAGCAATGTGTGCTGAGATTAGAAACTCATTAGTACCTTTTTCTCTAGAGAGGAGAGCAGGTGGTTGACAGTGGCGATCTTGCTGAGGAGCAATTCAAGGTCTGGATCGCCGGCCAGGAGACCCTGAACAGAAAAAGAGACAAATTCTGATACCTGGTGCTTTTAAAGCAGCAATGACAGATTAAACTGTAGTGGACATGTCCAGAAACCTTGGCCAGTTTCCAGGGTCACTTCAGTACCTATGGAGAATAGAGCCGCATGAAAAACTGGGTTTTTCTCCCCCAAGTTTGGTAGCCAAACTGGAAAATCTGAAAACATTCATTTTGAGTCCAAACTGATTTTTTTTTTCCTTATTAAAACGCAAAAACATGTTGCTTGGGTCAAACAAAGCATTTTGGAGGTTGCCGTGAATTGAGATTTTTTTGAACCATTTTGACATTTCTGAAACTTAATTTTAGGTATTCTCAGCCTAAACTATTTGCTGAATTTCTGAATAGTTTTGGTGCCCCACAAATGCATTTTTCAGAAAATTTACTATTTGCCAAACTAAAAAAAAAAAAAAACTCTCTAATGTAGGGTGACCAGGTAGCAAATGTGAAAAATCGGGACGGAGGTGTAGGGTAATAGGCATCTATATAGGAAAAAGCCCCAAATATTGGCACTGTCCCTATAAAATCGGGACATCTGGTCACCCTACTCTAATGGTTATTAACTACACTTCGGGTCACTAGCAAATAGTTGGGAAGATCTGAAGACACTTCTCTACGGAACCAAAACATACACACCCAGTTTAGCACAATTAGCACCTCTGGGGGGAGGTCTGTGCAGGGAGCTGCGGCACAGGACTGAGGTGCACAGGCAGAGCAGTGAGGGCAGGTTAGGGCTGGAACAGCGTGGGGGGCTTTGGCTCAGGACACAGGTCTCCACTCCCAGGCAGATGCTCTGGCCTGCGTCAGTCCAGCTGAGGTGTCCCAGACCAGATCCCTGACTTGCCCCACCCCACCACTTAAATATTCTCCCTCTCCCAGGACCCTGCATTGCAATTTCCAATCTTCACTGTAGCATCTAGCCTGCTGCATCTGAACTCCCTCTGGATTTGAGCTCTAGCACTTGGTTCATGAACACAGGCAGCTGGCTGGGCCTCGCTCCAGGAAAGGAGCATGGTGCCCTCTATGGGTGAAGATATGCAGGAAAACGAAACCCAAACAATGAAATCCCCCATGACCAACTTCCCCCTCCAGCCTCGACATGCTGACGCCTCCAGTGAGGCTCCCTGCCCTGGGCCAGCACTTTGGGGAAGGGGAGGGCTCACCTGCTCTCTTACGGGGCTCCGAGGGGAAGCCGGAGGGTCAAACACTTTGGCCAGAGTCTCTAAACCAGCCAGCGTGAAGTCAATCTCACTGCAAAGAGAAGAGCACTGAGTGGGGAAGCTCTGTTTGGTCCAAGGAGCCAGTCACCAGGACACCCCTGCTGGTCCTCTCCCAGTTCCTGATAAGCCACCAGTCACACCCATTCAGAGAAGCTGGGCTGGGGGCAGGAATCCCACATCAGGCCCCTTTGTCTTACTCATGGGGATTGCCATCAGGTGGTGCCACCTGACACCACAGTGCCAGGAACGAGTCCTTCCCACCAGAGAGTGTAGCAAACCAGAGACACTTTCAGTGCCGGAGGAGTCTAAGCAGGGCTGGGCCTAAGACTCCACAAAGCTCAAGGGGGGGCTGGGATCAGGCCCCTCCCAGAGTCCCAGCAGGGACAGTAACTGCCCAAGAAGCTCCATCACAGTGCCCTGCAGCTGACTCAAAATGAGGAGGCTGCTGAGGACCGGATTACAGACATGCCCTTTCCTGGTTTGCAGGGCTCAGGGAAGCAGTGCAGGAGGCTAGTTCAGCTGCCTCAGGCTGGTATGGTCTGAGCTGGAACCCCTGCTGCCCCAAGCCTTCCAATCTCCAGAGGTGGCTGAGGCCTGGCTGCGGCATCTTGCCAGGGCCTCCAGATTTAGAGGCTTTTGTTGCAGGGTGACTTGGCTCTGCGATGTGGGCGCGCTTTGCAGTGACTTGCTAACACAGTTGCTGTTTAGGCACTTGAATTTGAAGGATGCAGCCACTGAGGGAGAGGGATAATTGGGAGGGAGGAGAAAGGGGCTGTAATTAGGGCTGAGACCAAGCAAAGGGAACAGCATGAGACCTTCCAGGTGGGGATTTCTCGGCTTGTGGATGAGCTCAGTGACCACACTCCCCCAGAATCCACACAAGAAGAAATTCACACAGGCGTTTTGTGGAGGTCTGCAGCTTTAAGGTGCTCTGGATGCAGGAACTGGCCTGGCTTCCTCGCAAAGGCCTTGTGCAAGCTGCCTCCTCGCAGGGGGACTTTCTTTTGCAAAGCAGCAGGTGCCATCTGTACCCAGCACATACGAGACTCCCGAGGGGAAGGTCAAGCAAAGCAGCAGATGCCAATTTTACCCAGCAGAGAACAGCTGGCCAGCGTGTAAAGTAGCAGACAGCATCTGTACCCAGCACAGATGAGATGCCCAGAGGAAGAACTGAGAGGGCCCGGTATGAGACATGTAAACCAGACGTCCTGTCTCTAGAGAACAGACAGGAAAGAACAACCTAGCCCTAGGACCTCATGGGGCTTTTCTGCCTCTGACTAGGATGAGTCTATTGCCCTTCATTGCTCACCTGTGCAGCCCACGGCAGGCGGTCACTAAGGCTGTGCTCAGGTGTCTCAGCTGCAGGTTCCCATTCCTCAAGGCCTCCAGGTCAAGCTGTAAGTGGTGACTGAGGTACTCGGCCATGAATCCCATGAAATCGCTGGCCGGGCTGCAACAGGTGGGGATGTGTGAGCGTGCAAGGGAATTTCTTATTGGCAGCCCCAGCTGCCTGCCCCCATTGTGCTGATGCAGGTGCTGCCCCTGGCACCATGGTGGGGAAAGTCAGCGGCTATTGCAGACCTCCGGGAAAAGACCGGGCTCGTTGCCAGGCACCCTGAGCTCTCCAGTCTCACCCTCACCATGTGGGGCTGGGCAAGAAGGGGTGCTCTAGTCCCACCTGTGGGCAAAGGCAGGTGCTAGAGGTACAGCCCCCACTCTGCCCTTCAATCAAGCTGTCCAATCCCCCCCCCCCCACTGCTGTGGCCTCGCCCTTCCCAATGGGACAGTTTCCACTCTCCATAGCAGGAAGGGAAGGGACACCCTAGCTCTCCTCGCACATGCACGGGTAGCTCGCTCCAGCAGCCTCTGGACATCCCAGTATATAGTGCTTGCTACTTGCTCTGTGACAGGTGTGCCAGGCAGTACCTGCTGTGAACCTGCTCCTGCAGCCTGAGCTGCAGCTGCTGAGATATCTGGGCCTTGTTTGGCTGAGCAGTAACCCACCCACTGGTGCTGCCCGCGATGATCCCACTGTGAGGCACCAGGCTTGGAGGGTGGCTGGCTCTGCCATCTTCACCATCTGCAAACACAAAGGCACACTATCTTAAGAGAGAAAAGTAACCAGTTTCCCCTCCCCCAAGCCCATCCCTAATCTCCCCGTTGTGTCCAGCATCCTCGCTGGGTCAATCGGGTGTGGGGTGAGTGGAATGTTACACCCCATTTAAGCCACGACCCCCAGGCACAATTAGGTGCAGGAGAAGACTATAATTCACTCTCTTGGGGAGCTGAATGGCCGATCTGCACCCTCCACATCCCCCCATTTCATTTCCTTCCCCAGTCCATGGCTTCATCCAGCCCCTAAATGCCCCCCTTACCACACACGCACCCCCCAGCCCCTCCAGACTCACCAGAGTCCTCCTCCACTGGCTCTCTTGCTCTGTTCACAGGGTAGAGCAGTGGGATCACCAGGCCATTGTTGGGTTGTTGGTAGGCCCCTATTAGATCAGTCAGGGTGCGGAAGCATTTGGCCTGGATGCCCTGGATGGTCTAAGGGCAGAAGAAGAATGGCTGTTGCTCTGGCACGTCCCACCCCAGACTCTGGATACCCATGGCATCCTGCAGCCAGCCCAGGAAGGATTAGAAACGTTATATCTCTCTGTTAGGTGCAGCTAATGAGCCTGTCTCGGCTCAGGGTGCAATGGAAGACTGTTCTCGTCCCAAGGAACTTACACTCCACAAGACCCTGGGGAGGGCGCTCACTTAGAACATTAAATAGCCTTAGCTTTCTCTCCTCTGCCCTGACATCGTGCTGGGGAGGGAGGGAGTTTGCCTAATGTGGGTCATTGTTCATGGGCATCTGTCTTCAGGAGAGATTTGAGTGAGGAGAGGATGGGGGCTCTGGGACAGGAAGATCATTCCACACACAAGGGGGCAACCTGGCAGCCATCAGAAAGAAGGGAATGGGAGGAAGACCCAAAGGGGCATGGAGGCTGGTGCCTTTGGCACAAGTAAGGGGAGAAGTGGGGACATGCTAAGAGCCCCTGATCTGAGTGGGTGGAGCAGTGCAGGGCTGTAAAAGGGAGCACCTCTTGGATGGGATATGATCACTGTTTTCTGAGAGATGTCACCCAATCACACGCAGCAGTTTAGGACAGGAAGTGAACAAGAATCCTGTATCCAGCTGAAACTCAAGGTGAGTCAGAAAGGAAATGGGAAGAAGTAGATGTTTCTCTAGAGCCATCCCAGTTATGATTGTAACATCTAATGAAGGCATGCAATATCAGCATCGAGCGGCCAGCAAGCTGTGTTCCCAGGTTGTCGCTGAGGACAAGGCCATACCAGAGATGAGTCTGAGGCTATGACGCACTACGTCTGTGCAAAGGAAACACATCCTGTGGGCTCTGAGCACTGCAGGTGTCTTACGCAGAAAGGAAACCACAGTGCTAGTTTGTGGCTCCCAGCAGGGAGGGAGGCACATACACCCCATCCCCAGATGCTGCCAGTGGTGTGTCCTCCTGTTTGTATCTGCAGAGTAGAGGGTGGAGGCAAGATCCTTCCACATCTGCTTCCTGTGCAAACCCCAAATCACACAGCCAACAGGGGATCTCCATGCCTAGAGGCCATGCAGAGAGGTGCCTTAAGCACACCCAAAGGAGAGAGATTCAAGGGACAGCAATACTAGTGACTGGGGCATCTCTGCTACAGCTGCCTCCTTCCCACCTGCAGCCAGTGGACCCCACTCCACCCACCTGCACGGATAGCAGCCCCTCCTCATCGGGCAGGATCCTATAGGTGTGCACGTGTCTCTGGAACCTAGGAGGAAACAACAAAGTATCAACACCACATTTCCACCCTTGTGGGTCTAACAGTCAGGTGGGGCCAGTGATGGTGGGAAGAGCCTTTAGCCCATTAGGAAGGCAGGAAGGGATCACAGCAGCACCCATGAGCTCCACTATATCTGGATGAATCTGGAAACCAGTTGTTCTCAGGGAAATGAGGGACAATAATATTCCCATTCTCCCAGCTTCTGTCTTGTCTGGGGAGCTTATGATCTCCCTGAGGCAGGGACTGTCTCTCACCATGTGTATGTGAGTGCAGTCCCTACCCCAACAGGGCCTCTGGGTGTTGCCACAACACAAATACATCATAAATTTCTGTCCCATTTGGGAGCAGCAGTCAACGATTCCCAGCACTGTGATAAAGGGCCCAATTGGCTCTCAGAGCATTACCCGTAATTAGTACCTGGGACAAAGGGGGCAGAGAAATTAAGCTTCTAACCCTGGAAATAAAAATATCTAAGCTGTAGTAGCTGCCCCCAACCCAGGCCACACGACAGGGAGCCCCATTGATGGACGTATGCCCTGCCCCCATTGAAGCCTGAAGCTAACTGGCTTGTCACATGGATAAACATCCTTGTTTGGCCAAAGAACCCCCCACAAGGCCATTGCAGCTGGATACTGGTTCTGACTTGAGCCCTCACTCCTGGTGTGGCGGGAGGGTTTGATGACACATTTCCCTCCCGCCTTCTCAAGTGACAGGCCAAGCACAAAAGGACTTTATGGGCAAAGTTTTCAGGAGAGGCCACTGATTACAGATGCTTCCAATTCTGGGTCTCAGCTGAAGTACGGTGGGCCTGACCCATGGTATCGTGCTGAAGAGCCAGACTTCCTGCAGCTCATGTGGCCACTCCTGTTCAAGTGTGAATTAAACTGCCCACAAAAGGACAGCCTAGGCCTGGGCTAGTGAGAGCGCATCCTTCTCTGGGACCCCGAACACCTCACAGCTCCTCAGAACCAAAGTAAGAGCTTTGGAGAGAAAAAGTGCTTAGCAGTATCTAAGCCCCTGCAAGTTCTGGGGGCCTGGGCAGCTCACTGGTTAAATCCCCAGCATGTGCTGCGCCTCCCACACTCCTCAGGACCATGTGTTTGTAATTTATACCATGCTCTGGGCCAGGAAAATATCGGAAATGGAACGGCATCCTTCCAAGACTCTTAAAGGAACAGCATCTTATTCCTGCAGCACCCTGACTACTAGCTGAGCTTTCAGTGAGTTATGCAGATGCGTCACTTGGTTGGGAGTTGGGATCAGGGTGGCAGCTCAGTCACTGACAGCACAAAGGGACACCTGCCCACTCAGATCACACCCAGCAGTTAAGCTCCAGCCAAAGGCTTTAAACCATGTTTAGATAAACCTGATACAATGTCGTCCTCATGAATACGAGCAATTGGACAGCACTGGCTAGCCAAATGCAGTGCAGAGCCCTGCTACTACGTTCTGATCCAGAGCCGCAGGACCCCTGGCTAGTCCAGCCCTGAGCTCCCACACAGATCTGCCAATGCACTCAGCCCTGACCTACAGAATCTCTGCTCATCCAGTCCTTGCACAGCTGCACGGCTTGCTCTGCCTGCTAGTGCAAATTTTAAATTGTGTTTACGATCAGAAATGTGACTGTATAAAAATGGCTCCTCCTTACTCACCAGATCTGAGTGCCATGCACATCAGAGTCCAGATCTGCTGACTGCAGTGACAAACTGGTTTTCACAGTCTTTTACTCCTATAAAGCCTACAGGAGCCAGTGCAGCTAGAGGAGAGGGAACTGGCTCAGTGGGAGCTCCTGCATCACCCACACAATTCTTAACTAACTACCTAATTGCAGAACCTTATTGCTGATAAGCCAGAAAGAGTCCAGCGCAATTATCCGATCCCAGGGGAGTTTGCAGCACTGGCTGCTCGAAAAAAAATGACAGCTTTTCACTTCCATTTGTATACAGGCATTTTTAGAGCAGAATGCCACTTTAGACTTAAGGGCACCAGTAGGGTCTGGGTACCAGGGACCACCTAGTGAAGAGTGAATTATTAGAGGAATTACGAATACATGGAGCATGGGAGGAATAGGCTGCCCGCATCAAAACTCCACTCAAAGTTCCCTGCACATACTGTCCTCATCAGGGACATGTCCTTTTTGTGCAGTGCCATGCATGGGTGAGGACTTAGCAAACACTTTCCCATGCCAGGGATGGACATTTAAAGGATCTCTGTGCCCTGGAATCTAAAGAGTTAACTGTGTGCTTTGTGGGCTGGCTGCTGCTGAGTTTTGGGGTGACTTTGTTTTTACAGAGTCTGGATTGCACCCACCTGCGTGACTCACTCCCGCACTCACAGCACGAGCAGGACTCTGCAGTCTCACACAGTGTGTAGTCAGTCTACTGGACACCCACATCAGAGACAGATGCTGCTAGGACAGATGGGGACACAGTTGGGGCAGGCTTTCTGGAGTCTAAGAACCTGATTCTGCTCCCCCTTACACTGATTAATTGAACATGGTGTAAATGGAGAATCAGACCCGAGGGTCACTGCCTCCGCAGCCACATTTCACAGATCCTGTTCCCAGAGCAGGGCTGCTGGCACCTACTACAGGACAGGCCCAACAAAGAAAGTAACAGAACGCCGCTAGCCCCCAACTAAAACCTCTCCAGCGCATCATCAAGGATCTACAACCTATCCTGAAGGATGATCCCCCACTCTCACAGACTTTGGGAGACAAGCCAGTCCTTGCTTACAGACAGCCCCCGCAACCTGAAGCAAATACTCACCAGCAATTACACACCACACAACAGAAACACTAACCCAGGAACCAATCCCTGCAACAAACCCCATTGCCAACTCTGTCCGCATATCTATTCAAGGGACACCATCATAGGACCTAGCCACATCGGTCACACCCTCAGGGGCTCATTCATCTGCACATCTACCAATGTGATATATGCCATCATGTGCCAGCAGTGCCCCTCTGCCATGTACATTGGCCAAACCGGATAGTCTCTATGCAAAGAATAAATGGACACAAATCAGACATCAAGAATTGTAACATTCAAAAACCAGTAGGCAAGCACTTCAATCTCCCTGGACACTCAATAACAGACTTAAAAGTGGCAATTCTTCAACAAAAAAACTTCAAAAACAGACTCCAAGAGAAACTGCAGAACTGGAATTAATTTGCAAACTGGACACCATCAAATTAGGCCTGAATAAAGACTGGGAGTGAATGGGTCACTACAAAAAGTAACTCACACCTTGTCAACTGTTTGAAATGGGCCACCCTGATTACATTGGCCTTGTTAGCGCTACAAAAGTAATTTTCCCTCCCTTGGTATTCACTCCTTCTTGTCAACTGTTGAGATTAGGCCACTTCCACCTTAATTGAATTAGCTCGTTAGCACTGTCCCCCAACTTGGTAAGGCAACTCCCGTCTTTTCATGTACTATGATATATATTCTGCTTACTGTATTTTTCACTCCATGCATCTGATAAAGTGGGTTTTAGCCATGCAAGCTTATGCCCAAATAAATGTGTTAGTCTCTAAGGTGCCACAAGGACTCCTCATTGTTTTTGTTTAAACCAGGCAAAGCCACTTGCACTCCAGGTCCCCTTAGAAACAGGATTTTCCCCTGCATGAGGAAGGGCCGGTGGTGATGGGATATCTCATTTGGCCACTTCTCAGAAAAGAGGGTTCCCAGGTTACATCGCTCAAGTTGTAGCCAGGACTGTCTTACAGTCAGGCTGTGTAGTCACTTCTACTAGAAAGACTCATGCTCATTCCATTGATATAGCTGCACTGTAATCTAGGGGTTGGAGCATGGGTTAGGAATCAGGGACACCAGGGGTCTAAACCTAACTCAGCCACTGTCTCACTTTGTGCCCTTAGCCAAGTCACTTCACCTCGCTGTGCCTAGTTTCCCCATATGGGAATACAATCCTTACCCACTTGGTTAATGTCTGTGCAGGGCTTTGAAGGCTATCAGCGCTCAGCAATATTATTAGTCACTCCCACGATGAGCAGCCTGGAGACACCAGAGCCAGATTCTCACAGCAATGTGCGCGCGTGTGTGCATGTTTACACCATAGGATAAGGTGGCCCTCATTAGCAAAGGGCATCTCTGTGTCATTATTCCCTATTGACCTCTCCAGGAATGCTCCAAGGAGTCAGCGCACCGTCAGAGACAAAAGGGATTAAAAAGGCTGGCACCAGCCTGAGGTGCAGAGAGAGATCTCCAGGAACCATTCACCTAAGTTCAGCCTGCTTCTCACCCTGGGTCTGGGCACTGGGGATTTGGGTCTCTGGGTCAGAGCCTTTTGGCAGAACAAGCAGGTTTGTAAGTGACAAGAGTCAGAACCTGAAAAAGGAAAAGGGACAGAGAGAGACAAAGATGAGAAGTGAGTTGGGCACTTACAGCAGGCAAAGGGCGTACGCCCCAGACACGGACTCGCTGTCTCGCACCAGGAAGCACCCATCCTTCCCAGCTTTGGCCAACAAATCCTCAGCCACAACACGACTGATATCCCGGTGATACCAACTTGCTGCTGTCATTCTCTGAGCTAGACAGGCATGGACTGAAAGTTGTCCCCAAAGGTAAGTCCACCCTAGGGATCCTGCTGCCACAGAAGCTCTGGGATCAGCAGCTGCTGTCAGTGATCAGGCCAGACTAATGGGGTCCAAGCCAGAGGGTTCAATACAGAGGCAGCGAAATTTGTTGAGGCAAGAAGGGCTCCCAGCCCTTGGATAAATTAGGGACTGAAGATCAGAACACAGCTGTGCCAGCTTCAGATTGGCATGTCCTGCATGTGGTCTCTGATTCATCTGTTCCACCCATTAGGAGACACTGCCTTGGATCTGCACGACCATGTGAACCGAGCCAGGCGGAAATCCCCCGAACATTTAACTTGGTCCAAGCAGAGCCAAACGGGGCTGAAGTTTGCTGAGGAGGGCTGGTCGTCCAGAATGCTGGTACACTCTTCATCTCAAATCATTCCGATGGGCCTGCTGAATAGGAGAGGGAACGAGCTGGGGAAGGTAAAGACAAATGTAAAGACAAAAGAAGGTAAAGACAAAGACACTTCTCCTGCAGCAACTTCCAGTAACCGTCTACCCCAGGGAGCTGCCAGGCCCCCTGCCTGGCCTTCAGTTAGGGGCCTATGGCTCCCATGAGAGCCTGAACAATCTCTGCAGCAGTGAAGGTGACCCTATCACAGGATGACAAAAGGACCCATTCTGTATAGGAGTCCAGTAAAAGCAATCTCCCTTTAATAGGGATGCTTAGAAGGGGGAGCTGAGTTCCAGCCTGGGATTCCCTGGGACTGTCCTGGGCAGCAGGATCTATGCTACAGTCAGAAGAGGAGGGAGTTCCCTCAAACTGTTCCGATGACTGTTCCCATGGCAAAGGGTCTGCATGCTAGGATTCCCTGCGGTCTGTCCAGGGAGCAGCCTAAGGGCAGGGCCCATCCACTTCATTAGCCAGAACACACCCAGGCAAATGCCATACAGGGATTTTATGACCTCTCCAAACATGTGCCCCATCCAGAGCTTGGGCCATTGCTCTGGGAGCACACAAAGCACGTACCCTGTGCCACGGGGCTCTCAGTCACTCCCTGGGGCAACTTAGTCCAGTGCCTCCCGGAAAGCAGACTGAGCTCCGCTAGCTGCTGGTAGCTATGCTGAATGCTAAATGTCCACTTGATGATTTCAGTTCCCCCCCAGCCCCTGCCTCCTCACTGCACCAGGTATACACCCCAGCCTGTTGTGGCTCCCTGCAGACCCCTAGCTGCTGCATCAAAGCCGGACACATCCCAGACTAAACTTGGACGCTTAGCCCAGGCCCCCGCAGTCCTCCCCTCAGGAACACCCAGGCCCAGGAAAACTTTCTCCAGTGGTTCTTTACCAATGTCCTGTGGAGCAGGAACAACAGCATCACCCTGCCTGCCAGATGGTTCCTCCGTCCTTCACCTGGCTCCAGCTGGACCTGGCTCCTTTCGGCACAGTCTGGCTCTCTCACTTGTGCTCCTCTTCCTTCTTCTCACCACTTTCCTCTCCTCTGTGGCTGTCAGGACCAGCCTCCTCGCTCCCCCTCCCCCAGGTTCAGTCACTCTGCAGCAGGCGCGGCGGCAGCCGCTCTGCTAGAGGAAGCCAGTATTAGTCATGTGGGTGCAGCATTCACATTCTGCCTCCATTCTCACAGCTCCAGTGGTTCAGGATGCAGCCCTGTTTGCAAGGTAGCCCCAGCCCTGTGGGCAGGGGCAGCCAGAGGAGCCTCTCGTGGGGCCAGCTGCCGAGTCTTGGCAGTGTCTTAGCCTTTGCTTCACAGAATCCTAGGGGTTAGTAATGGGAACGGGCCATTGGAACATCCAGCTCCTCTCCCAGGAGCCAGGGCAGGGTTGTCTCTTGTTGGACATTGTCGAATGCTTTCTTCAGCATCGTTCAAAAGGTCTCAGGCACCGAGGCATCCAGCCCATGCCCTGGGGCGGTCACTCCACAGCCTGACACAGCTTGCTGGCTTGAAATGTTTTCCCACAACCAGTCTACACTTTTCTTTTCATTGGCCATGTCTACACCACGGGGACTATGGCGGCTTAGCTCTGGCACTGTGGCTATGCAGCATAATCCATAGCGTAGACAGCCTACAGCAATGGAAGGAGTTTTTACATCGCCGTAGGAACACCACCTCCCCGAGCAGTGGTAGCTAGGTTGACAGAAGCATTTTCCCATCAATCTAGCTATGTCTACACTGCGGATTAGATCAACATAGCTACGGCACTCCCCAGCATAGCTACAGCGCTCACCAGCATGGATTTTTCACACCCCTGAATGCTGGAGCTATATCGGCCTAAACTTTAAGTCTTGACCAGGCTTTTGTTTCATCCCATTTCTCCTTGTTTTACCCCCTGGTACCACCCTAAATAATTACATTCCTTCCTTGGTGTTGACACCCTTCATGTACTCACAGATTGTGAGCATCAGATTTCAGCCACTGTGGTAGCCAGTGATCAGAGCCTCCTTTTCCACTGGTGGAACAGTGGGCTATCTGGGAGCAGAGTGCACTGCCCTCCTATGGATTCATTATTCACATTTACTTGGTGAATACTTGCCCTATATGGACTGATTGCAACATGCAATACTCAATATTTGTGATTCCAGTGTCTCGGTTAGTTGTGATTGCTAGAGCATTCATGTGGTATTATTTCCGATCCCTGAATAGATAAGTGTAAGAGAACTTCTGATATGAATGCTCACACCTGTGACTTGGCCAGTTGCTTTCTATGAACATCCAGGCAAGTAAAACTTACTGGATCAAATGTTTTCAGGGAGCAAATACAGAGGGGGCATACAATGCTTAATTTGTACTGAAAGAGGTGCTGGGGCTCAAGCAATTTTTTTTACATTCATAAATGAGGCAGCAATCTCAGAGGTGCCGGGGCTATGAACTGCCAAGCCTACAGGTGCCAGGGCTCAGCCCAGGCAAACCCTGGCACAAATTAAGCACTGGGGCACATGAATTTAGCCTTAGTCAGTAAAAAACTCAAGCACATATTCCCAGAGACTATTTTCGAGTATTCCCCATCACCCCTTCTTGTTCACACTAGGAAAATTACCTATTGCTGTTGCCAGGTGTCAGCAAAACGTTCAGCTGAATGGGTGCTAGCGTGGCTTAACGGCAAATATAGACCAGAACAAAACCATGGTTAAAATCTGCTCTATGCTCAGCTCCCGGCAAGAGAAGCCTGGTTTAGCCACCCCAGGAGTAAAAATGGGTTCCTGAAGGGATCAACTCCCAGCCAGAAGAGTGGGTCTGCCCATCATGGGGCTTTCAAGGGAGACGAGAAAATAAAGGAGAAAATAGGGAATGGCCCCCTCTCCTACAAACCAACCTCACTGAAAGGAATGGAGAACCCAGCAAGCTCTGCCTGGAGCAAACAGCAGAAACAAACCAGAAAGCAGAGATGGGCTCTGCTGACTGACCTCCAAGGCTCCCGTGGGGTAGGGTCTGGTCAGTGGGCCAAGCTTCCCACAAGGACTGCTCTGTAACTCTGCCCCTGGGACATGTGCCAAGGGAGGCCGTCCACATGGGAAGAGAAATCCTCAGTGCGTCTGGCTCCTGGTGCCTTGGCATCGAGGTGTGTGTGTGTGTGTGTGTGTGTGAAAGAGAGAGAGAGAGAGGGAATCAGTGTGTGTGTGTGTGAGAGAGACAGAGAGAGAGAGTGAGAGGAAGTCAGTGTGTGTGTGTGGTGCAGTGCTGGTGGGGGGAGGTACAGTGCTCTGGCCACTGGTTCCTGAGAGAGAAGCTAATTAGGATTTTGTTGGGATGATTATCAGCACAGAGTTCAATTAATTACAGATGAGCAACAGACACCATCTGTCACTGGGGAGGCTGTGGAAAGGTGAGACCGGAAGGGAAAAGAGAGAGGGTGATGGGTGACAGCCAAGGGCCAGCAGGAGGAGGAGCCCAAGTCTCAGGCCAGGGGAGGTGCCCCTCTGCCTTAGAACCAAGGCCTATGCCCTTCCAGCAACATGGGACGCAGCAAATCATAAAGCCAGCTCTGCCTCTAAGCCTCTTTAGACCTCTTACTCAGCCCTTTTCGCTGCAGAATTGCCATGTGCCTTCAGCACAGGATGACTGTACCTCCCGTGCTTCATTTTACTGGGACTGCAGGAACCACAGGGACTATGGCTTAGACAGCACTCATCTGCTCAGTCTTCTGTAGTGAGCAAGGCAGAGGTTCTTAGGGCTGAATGAGGAGTATGAGTAAATGTCCTCATCCCCCCAGGGCAGGCTGGGGTGCGGGGAGGGGTAAGCCCTGTGCTAGAGGACCTTGGAAAGCCCAGGAGTGAAGGAAGCTGGGGACTGAGGCCCTGAATCTCAGCTGCAGCTGGTGTAGTTCAGAATGTAGGATGAGCAAAGGTGGCTGTGCACCCCCTTCACAGCTCCTGGGTCTGCTGGGGACAGGTTTAGCCTCTGCTGTTAGCTTCACCAGACGCAGCCTGCAATGGTTCCCGAGGAACTCTCTAGCAGCTCAAAGCAGCCATGCTCCATCCTTCCCCAAAACACCTCCTTGCTCTGGGCCTACCCCTGAATTGGAGCCCGTGGATGGCAATTCCACTGACCTTGCAATCTCCTTTACTCCAGGACTATTCCCAGCAGGGAGAGCACAAAGGGAAATCAGGGTTCTACAACCATTTACATAAAACTGCAGGATCTGAAGTGGCCAAAGCCTCTTTCCAAGGGTGGCAGCATCGTGCTGCTTCCTGTGCACTTCGGTTGCTGTCACATGTGCCCTTTAACATCAGGGGGAGGGTCGGTGGGCTGGCCTGCTGGGAGGTTTTGGAGAACCTTTGCTACCTGCTTTGTTTTCAGTTGGTGGCTCCCTGGGTTGTGAGCAGCTCTGCTGTGTTTGTGTCTCTGACCCCTTCAGGGCAATGGTGAGAGAGAGACGTGATACTAATTTCTCTGGTGATATAATGTGTCTAAGCGGGACAGGCTGCTCACCAGTTATACAAGCTGCCAGGATCGGAAATAGCAATCAATGGACAGCCAGGAGACTAGCTGCTTAGGGACTCTTTCCATAGAGTCACAGAGGAAACTGCCTTCCTCCCAGAGACCCTCTCCAATACAGATTTGGCTAGTAGGGGGGTGCTTATCTCCCCTTTTAGACAAGCAGGGGTTATTTAACAGCATTGAACTAATTTGTCAGACCTAAGAGGATGCCCAGATCTGGGAGCAGAGCTTGGTGATTAATGCCACTCACACGCCTTAATCCAGACCAGAGAAGGAAAGACAGTTTGAAGCTTTGAGGGACTTTGGGAAATGACAAGAGTCTGAACCAGTCATACAATGGCTCCAGCACAGGATCTCTGTAGTGTTTATGTAACGATGTGTGATTCATGCATATACAGACACCATGGCTGTCAGCTGGGATCATACTTTGAGCCTTGAGCACCAGAAGTACAGGCCTTTACCACTTGAATTAAGGGAGAGCTCCATTAGCTGTGAGACAGTAGTAGGCTGTTCTGTCACTGGAACCAGCTGCTATAGGGATATATGATCACACACACACACCAATGTATTAAATGCAGGCTCTATTTGGAGCACAATGTGTTATGGACTGGGTGGGTGGCCACCTCAAAGTGAAATTGTACTGAGGAGAATAACAACATGAGGGGCTCTACATTTAGAGCTGGGCTGGGATGGCCTGGTATGTGGTGGGAGGGCAGGCAGGTTAACACCTTTCCCAAACTGCCATTTGTGCTCCAGAATCTCAGCTCTCATTTGTCAGTAAAGTAAATCGAAAGCTGCTGTGGTTGCATGTGAAAACGTGGGAATGAAGTGTAAAGGTTGTAGTGATCTCTGCCTCAGTCTGGAACAATGCCTCTGAGAGGTATGAACTGGCCCATGCATCTCAATGAGGGGTTAACTCTGATGCCCAGTGAAGATTATTTAAAAGCTAGCATTGTAACTATTCCATTGTTCATTAAAGTATGTGGGGAGAGGAAGGTGGGCTGTGGGGGAGGAAGGTCTCTAATCTCCACAATTGTCTGGAAGTAGCATCTCATTTTGGCACCGTGGTGGATGGTATTTGGGAGATACCAGCACTGGCTTTCTCTCCCTGTCAAGGAGCAAATCCTTGGGAGCCTAGCAGAGTTCTGGAAGGCATTCCAGCCCACCAACTGGGAGCTATGCTCAAGGAGCTCAGTGGAGCCAAGCAAACGCCCATAGTCATATTCCAAACGTCTGCTCAATCTGCAGTGAGTGGTGCCTCATGTGTGAAGCTTATTTTGTGGGGTGGGGCTTGGAAGAGTACCATCACCTTTTTTTCTGCAACTTGACCCCTGAATTAATATGTTAAAATGTGAGTTTTCCAGGAAGTTTCCAGAGCCCCCGTCACTGTGTTGCTCTCCATAGCCTTGCAAGACACTGGTGTCTCCCAGTGAGACTAATCCATCCAGGGTGAGGATGGAGGATAGGACAAGGATGGAGGAGGGCAAGCCTCCATGTGAAGGCAGAGGAAAGCAGATGACTTCCAGAGGGAGTTATGGCAAGTTGGTTAAACTCC